AAAGTTTTTGTTTTTTTTTTGTTTTGTTTTGTTCATTAGATCCAAGATTTTGGGTGCAGATTTCACACTTTTTCTCGGTTTTAGGTTTTCTATTCAACTTTTTTTTTTCTTTTAGTTATCTAATATATTCTTTTCCGTATTTGCTGCTTCTGTTGCTGTTGTTGTTGTTATTGTGAATGAACGAATGAATAAAGAAATTGAATGGAAGAAGAGAAAAAAAATCTGGTTTTACACCATTGACCAATGACAATAAAAAAAAACTGAGAATGAGAAATGAAGAAGAAAATGAAATGAATACAATCCAGTTGCAGATGCCATACATTCATTCATTCATTCATTCAAACATACATACAGTGATCTCTTCTCAATCGATTTCCTTTGGCCCGCATCCTCATCATCATCATCATCATCATCATCTGGTATCGAAAGAAAAAAAAATTACCACTGTCCAGTCTAGTCCAGTCCAGTCAAGTCCAGTCTATCCAGATGCGAAAAAAAAAGTTTTTTTTTCTTATTATTATTATTACTCGGATCGGAAGCTAATTTTTTTTTTTTTGTTTGCCTCTTACTTTTACTTTTCCATTTTTTTTTCATTCTCGTTTGTTCACATACTCATTATTTGGATTTTGGAACTTTTCTCCTTTTTTTTTTTCTCCTATCTGAGAAGCTTGTGTATGATGATGAGAAAATAGAGACGACCAACAACAACAACAAAAAACTTGGAAATCTTGACCGCACCTTGGCCTCTGTCTTCACACACACACACACACACACTTAACAAACAAACATCTTTTTTTTCCATTTCTGGATTGAGTAAAATAATAACCATGTGTTTGTATTTGGACAATACCAAGAGTTGACCAAAAGAAGAAAAAATCCCAACACTTTTTTTTTTTTCTCTCTCTCTCTCACACACACATTCACACAGTAACCTACTACCGGTATAACGATAATATTTCCATACATACTAAACACATAAGCTGTTGACCGGGACCCGAAACCGGTCACTATGTTCACACAAACAATTGAATAGTAATGGGTCACAAGGCCGTATAATACACAAAAGATAAAGATTTTTTCCCGTATTTTCGATAACTCCTTACAACAACAATAACAAAAAAAAATTGAATGAAAGCGAAAGGAAGAAAATTTTCTTTTTCCACTATTATCGAATTGTATATAACCCGAACAAGAAACATGTCATATCGAAAAACCTTGAGAAATGAAAATGAAGTGAAATGATTTCGAAGCTGACCAGAAAAAAAGAAAAGACGGACGAGGTCAAGACTGACAAACACATTCTTTACTTGTCTGGCTAGTTGGTCGGTCGATCGGTCGGTTGGTCAATCATTTGGTTTTTTTTATTTCTCGTAGAGAAAGTATAATAATAATTCAGGTTTTATCACATCAAATAAAATAAAATAAAAATTACCTATCTACTACCCACTACTAATCGAACTATCCGACCAAACGAATCATCATCATCATCAGGTCAGCAAGCCATCCAGTCACGCAACATTTTTTTTCCTTTTTCTTTCAATACTTTCATCTTCAACTTGTTCGTCTTGACCTCATTCTTTGATTGGTCGAAAAAAAAAATTTTCTGTGTGTAATTCATAGGTATGTATTTGAATGAGAAGAAAATTTGTCCCTTAAAGAATATACAGAGGGTGAACCATGACCAAAGAGAGAAGCTTCATAGAAAAAAAAATCACAACCTGTTTCCTTTTTAAGGTTGTTGATTTTGTCATGTGTTTATGTCTGGACGGCTAGTGTTTGTGTGTTGGTGTGTGTGACAAATATATATCAATTGACCCATTCGATGACCTAGTTTTTTCTCCCTTTTTTTGTTCTGTTGTTCCCTTTGACCACCGGTCAGTATTGTATTGTCCACTTTGGTCTATTGACCATTATATTATTGTGTCAAAGGGGACATATAATTGGTGTGAAAAGAATGAATGAATGAAAAGGAGAGAGTAAAAATAAAATTAGGGACACTTGCTATTTATCGATATGATCGCTGTTTTTGGGTCTAGTCTGGTCTTTTTTTGGGGGGGAGTGCACTTGTTTATATCATCATTGAATATTATACACTTGAATGAATGCCAATGATGATAACAAAATTTTTTATTTTCATCTCACGCCTAACCACCACCACCACAAATTAAATTGTTCATAATGATCATAATGTTTCAAGCATCAATTTTTTGGACATTTTGATTCTGTTTTCTATTTCATGATATAAATGGCCAATTTATGTTTTTGTTTTTTTCTGATGCCACCATTACCACCACCACCACCATATTTCTATTGGCACCACTATCACAAACATAAACACAAATATTTCGTTTTTTTTTTCTGTTTTCTATGAATATATATCTCGTTTGTAGGATCTGATGAGATGCTGAAGGTCAAAGGGCGAGAACTGTGTCTGTGGATGTGGATTTTTTTTTATATATTAGCACTTTTTTTTCATTACATTTTATTTTATTTTTTAGGCTCTGCCTTTGGGTTTTTTTTCGTTTTCTCTCTCTCGCCCTTATCAACCAAATTTTTTTTTGCCATTCCATTCCATTCTCCTATTCTGTGTGTGTAGGCAGGCAATGTAGATTTTTTTTTCATCTTCATTTTCATTTATATGCCGCGCCGACCTCATCCTTGACCTGATGGTTATATATGTTTGTGTATGGTGTATATATGTTTGGTTCGTTCAATTGAATCGTTTAGTTTTAGTTTATATCGTATCGAGTTTTTATTTCAGGATTGATGTTTGATTCAAATTGTTGGATGGATGTTGTTGTTGCTGTTGTTTTTTTTCTGTGGGGGTATATGTGATGAAACCATGATGCGTTTTTTTAAAAAATAAAAATGGCCGGCTAGTTAAATAACTGAATTCGCTTTGGATTCGATGGATAGATGGGTGGATGGTTAGATAGATAGATAGATGGATTGGTTTGTTGGTTGGTTGGTTGGTAAAATTTTTTAGACATACACAGAGCTACCCTTAGTTTATATTTTTTTCTCTTTTCTCTCTCTCTCTCTCTCTTTGGTCGTGTCAAAATCGTTAGTTAGTTCGATGTTTTGGGTTGTTGGTTGTTTTTATTTTTTTTTGCATATACCAAACAACGCCGCTACCCTTCAAAACTTAGTGAGAAGCCAAACACAGCCATCCATCCATCCATCCATCCATTCATCTATCTGTCTATCCATCCACATCTATTTAGCCCGAGAGAGAGAGAGAGAGAGTATTGCATAAAAAATTATACTCCAGCTTTATATTCGTTCACCTCTCTCTCTCTTCCTCTCTCTTGGGCTCTTACTTTTTTTCTCGTAAAAAATTATCTACACGCCACCTAAAAATATGAGTGAATGAGAGAAAGTATTTCCCCTAGTCATCATCATTGAGATGATCATTTTAGTCCTCTACCACCCATATATTGTGTGTGTGTGTGTATGTGTGTTTAGTTTAGTTTGCTTTTTAGCAATGTTCAATCATTCAACAACTTTTATTTCATTCGAATTTTCGGTTTTTTTTACGTCGTCGTCGTCATCGTTGGACCAGTCTGGTCTTTGCTACCCATCATAGATGTTCGTTGTTTTGCTGCGCCAGCGGTTCCACATGTTCTCTTTTTTTGTTGTTGTTGTTGTTGTTGGTTAAATGATTTTTTTATTTGTTTTTTTCTGGCTAGTTTGAAAGTGGTGTTTTTTTTTGGTTTCATTATTTTCGGGATACCTATTTTTTCTCTTTGTATGGTGTGGGTGCATGGTGCAGCGTTGTTCACGAAATGTGTGTGAGTGTGAGTGTGTGTTTGGTGTCTGTTGGTACATTTTTTCATAATGAATAAGATTCGCAAACTAATCGAGTGATATCAATAACCAGAATCTCTTGGAGATTCTTTGGTTCGATCTAATGTTCCTTTTTTTCTATTGTGTTTAATTCCTACAACATCATCGATCATCATGTGACGACGACGACGGCGACAATGGGAGAAAAAAGAATGAACTAAAAAAAAAATCAGAATCCGAATCCTTTTTCATTTCTTGATTGTCCATCAGTTTTTTATGTTTGTCATCGGTCAAAATGACATGGACAACAACAACAACAAAAATGCTGTGATTTATCATTATTTCTAAATACACACCACCTAACTACCTCTATTTTTAACTACAAAAATTTTTTATTTTGTTTCATAGTCATTGATTGAAAATCAAAAAAAAAAAAAAAAATCTCAAATCTCATCAAGCAATGAATTCTGAATAAAGATCTCTCTCAAAATTATTATTCTATTACAAAACAAATACGGGTACCAATAAATAAAAAAAATCAATCGAAAAAAACGAAAAAATTTTTCCATTGAGATTTCATTCAATAATCAATTTGAAAATCAATTTTCATTGCAATGTAATATCGATGATTTCGATCAATCTAACCAAACTACCTCATCATCATTCATTCAGACAATTTCTTCAGATTCCCTGAAGAATTTTTTTTTCTCAATAAGAAAAATCAAAAAATAAATCTACCTCAATCAATCAAATAATCGTCTTGGTCATTTGATAATCTCATCAAATTTTTTTCATTAAAAAAAATGTGATTTTTTTTCAAAAATTTAAAGTTCCTAGTGTCTGTGTGTTTTTCATTTTCATTACCCAAAAAAATTTTATCTATCACCACTACCTGACAATTCGAACTCTCTCTCTCAGCAGCAGCAGCAGCAGCAGCAGAGAAAAAAAATTCGAAAAATTTGCTCACCACCTCAACATTCGATTTTTTTTGTTTTCACATTTCTAATTCCCATAAAATGTATTCAAAACATATCGATTAATAATCAATCCTTTTTTTTGCCAATTTTCCATTCAATTCACTAATGATTGATTTTTTTTTATTTCTCTTTCTTTTCCATTTGTTGTTCCATTCATGCTGATTAATAAATGAATATATATAGATCATCATCGATCGATCGATTGAATATCATCATCAACTGAAAATAAATTTTTTTGTTCAATGTTTAAGTAATCGATTTCTTCTTTTTCTGTTTTTTGCATTTCACCAATTTATATATGTGGTCTCATCGTTTATCTGTGCAACAACAACAACAACAACAACAACAAAACGACAACAAACGTTACCGCTGCTGCCATCATCATCATTATCATTATTATCAAGTAATGCTAAAATAATGAAAGAAGAAAGCGATACAAGTGCCAGTAATGATCTTTTGGAGCGTCTGGCTTCACATACACATATTCTTTCAGCATCAAATAATAATTGTTCCAATCTAAAGTTACAACAATCAACATCACCGGCTTCATCATCATCATCATCATCATCGTCATCACCATCGGTTTCATCTGGAACTTCCATATCAAAAGTAACTAGCTCAACCAATGGAAATGGCAATGGTGGTGGTAGTGGTGGTGCAACAACACCATCACAAATGGCCATTGTGGCACCAAGATCATCAACACAATTATTATCATCACATACATCACAACAACAGCAACAACAACAAGTATGTTCATCTATGGTTACACCTGCAACATTATTACATCATCAATCGAAATCAACATTTGATAAAATTGCTCAGATTTGTAATAATATTTCTTTATCCGAAACATTGGCATTATCATCAATGATGGCCAGTCCAGAACATAATCGTTTAATAAGTGAAATGATTTCGGCCGGTTCCGAACATAATCGCCTTTTTCAAGAGATAATGGCTGCTGCATTATCATCATCACAAACGATAAATAATAATAATAATAATAATAACAGTAGTTCAAATAGATCAAATAAATCATCAAGTTCCGATTCATCAAATGCTGGTTCGCCATTATCATCGATTAGTTTATCGGTAAATACAACATCATCAACAACGACAACAACAACAAAAGTGCCCGGTGTTTCAAAATCTCGTCAAGCAGATTCACCTGGTTCTGGATCGATAGCAAGTACAACCAGTACAAGAGAAAAAGTATTCGTTTGTCAGATTTGTAATCGAAGTTTTGGTTATAAACATGTACTACAGAATCATGAACGGACACATACGGGTGAAAAACCATTTGAATGTCGTGAATGTCATAAACGATTCACTAGAGATCATCATCTAAAGACACATATGCGTTTGCATACCGGTGAAAAGCCATATCATTGTACACATTGTGATAGGCAATTTGTACAGGTAGCCAATTTAAGGCGTCATCTTAGGGTGCATACAGGTGAAAGGCCATATGCTTGTGAATTATGTACATCAAAATTTTCTGATTCTAATCAGCTCAAAGCACATATGTTGATCCATAAAGGTGAGAAACCTTTTCAATGTAATAAATGTATGGGCCGATTCAGACGTCGTCATCATTTAATGCATCACAAGTGTCCTAAAGATGAAGCTAATGCTGGCAGGCCAAGACGTGGTCGTCGGCCAAGAGCTTATGATCAATTATCAAATTCATTACATAATCATAATCACCACCATAATCATAATAATCATAATCAATCAGCAAGTCCAAATTCGTTGTCCTCAATTAGTAGTCGTCCTGGATCTGCTGATGAATTATTGGTTCAATTGCCATTATTAGCGGTAACAACAGCGGTTTCATCTACTACGGCTACTAATAATAACAGTTATTTGCGGCACATATCCTCTTCTAGTAGCCATAGTAGTAAAACATCATCATCAACAACAAGCCATCATCGTTATCATTTGCCATTGTTACAACAACCACCGCCATTACATCATCCTCATTCGTTATCCTCACCGAACAATAATAATCATCATAATAATTTACCACCGACAGCACATCATTTTGGTAATGTTATTGTTGGCGGTGTTGGTAGTGGTGATGGTGATCGTTCACCATCACATCCACCACCACAATCTATCTCCTCTAAACAATCTAGACGTAAACCAAGACATACGATACGAATATTGCCACAATCACATCAAAATGATGAAGAAGATGATGAAATTCAACCACTAAATCTTTCCATTTCACCAAGCCTAATGGCTAAACCGACGATCATAGGTCTCAATAATCGACGAGCTTCATATAATAGACATCATTTAACAAACGAACTGATTGTTGATGAAGATAATGTATTGGATTTATCCAGATCAAGATCCGATGCAGAAGAATCCGAAGAACCGGAACCAATTGAAGAAGATGAAGATGATGATGATATTATTGATGAAGATGAGAATATCGGTATTAATATTAATGATGATGATGATGTTGATGATATTGAAATTGAAATGAAAAATGAAAGAAGAAGAAGAAATAATATCGATATCGATGATAATGATGATGATATTGATGATTTCATTGCCAATAATGGTAATAGTAATTTTAAATTTAATAACAATAAACGTCTGAAATGTTTGAATAATTATCATTTCAATAACAATGATAATCATCTGAAAAATGAAACAAATAACAACAACAACGGTGGTAGTAGCAGTAGTGGTAATAATGGATTAATAAATCAATTATTATCATCATCATCAACGCCATCGCCATCGCCATCATCATTTTTAAGTAAAATTATGCAAATAAAAAATGGTAAAACATCTACAATGACGACAACATCAGCAGCAGCAGCAGTGCCTTCAATTCCTTTTCGATTAACAAATAATAATAATAATAATAATCATGGAACGATTGATGATAAATTGATTGACCATCATAATGATGATCATGATCATGATGATGATAAAAATGAAACGACAACTACAATAAGTCCATCATCAACATCGCCATTGCCAACAACAGCATCAGCTGCAGCAACAACAGCAATCTTATAGCAAAAGTAAAAAATAAAACCAAGAAGAAAAACAATCGAACAAATGACCAAAAAAAAAAATTCAGATCATCGGAATACGGTTGGAATATTCTCTCTATGTGTGTGTGTGTGTGTTTGTTTGGCGAAAATTCTTTTTACATTTTTTTTCAAAAAAAAAATATTGTGTTCATTATTTTTTTCCGTTTTTTTTATTGTTTTTTTATTTTTATTTTTATCATCATCATTATTATTTTCAACTTCCATAGACTCACACACACACAGAATATTCAAACTGTGAATACACACACACACACACACACGAATGAATAAGAAGATTATGATGGACAAACAAACTGTAAAACACTAACAACAACAACCAAAATGACCAAATTATCGAAACAAACTCATCTTCATTTTTTTTCTGGCCCAGAAGCCATAATTTGTTTCTTCATTTTTTCTTTTTTTTTGTTGATCAGTTCCATCTAGTTGTTTGTCTATGTGTTTTGCCCGTTGTTATTATTTTTTGTTTGTTTTTTTTCAATCTTTAAGAAAATTTTTGTTGTCCAAAACAAAACAAAACAAAAAAATTGAAATGAAAATTCAGTTGTCCACACATACACACACGTTCAATTTGTAACAAAAAAAAAGTACAAGTTCAATCTAGTTCAAAACAAATGGAAAAAAATTTTGATTTGCCACAAAAATTCATTCATATCACACACACACACACACACACACACACACGAATACAATTGATTTTAGCTACCTCATTTTTTCTAGTGTAATCTATTACTACCACAACCATCATCATGACGACGACGACGACGACGACCACCATCACCACCACCAATTATCGATCATTCGATGATGATGATGATTCAATTTTTACACTTTTTTTTTATTTATTATTTATCTTTTCTGGATTTAAATTTGTTTTTTTTTTTTCTTTATTTTTCTTTCTTTTCTGTGTGTTTTTTTTTCGCTTCAATATAATCTCACTGAGAGCTTTTCACACACACACACACACACACAGATTGCCGGGACCAAATACATTGAAATGGAAATGACAAAAAAATTTGATTTGATTTTGTTTTTTTATTGATTCTGAATTACATACACACACACGGCCAACTAGCTAGCCAATTAACAAAAAAAAAAATTGAAATTCTATAGTCAAAATATTTTTCGTTCAAATTTGCAAAAAAAAACTGGTCACAATTAACAACAAAAATTTTCTCTCGCTCCCATCACTATCACCATCACCACCGCCTCCAACCAATCAACCAACCAACCAACCAACCCGATTATCTTTATGGTCAAAAAAAACTATCATCATCATCAGCTGAAATCGTTATCCATGCTCGGCACACCTATTTCATCATACTAATTGATTATAAAGTTCCACACCAGTCCCATCCACCCATTCACCAATCATCAAGAAGAACCAGGAATCAAAAAGAATCAAAAAGAATTTGCTCTATTATCATTTTATATATTTTTTTTTTTTAAATTTTTGTTCATTCTTCTTATACATTTTTAATTTATATATTAACAAACCAAAATACGGGTATAATTTAACACACAAACACGCGTGCGCGCGTAAATATTATTTTATTATTATTTTTTTTTTTTTTTTGATTCCCACCAACCATAATTATAATTGATTGATTAATGTTATTATATCTATCCTTTCATTTTCATTTGTTTTTTTTTCTCTCTCTCGTTTATTTGTTTCTTCGATTCATGAATGATTCTTTTTTTTTTGGAAACACTGAACTCTACACACCCACTTACCTGCACGCAGACAAAAATAAAACACGTGATACACACACACACACACACACACATACACATACAGAATTGAATATTTTACGTTTTTTTTCCTATATTTTTGTAATTTAAATCATTATATATAATTCGAGCTACAATAATGTGTGTGTGTGTGGGTGTGTGTTTGCCAATAACAACAACAACAACAACAACAAAAGAAAAATTTTGTATATTTATTCATCATCATCATCATCATCATCATTACAAACAAATGAAGAATGGCCATAACAACAATTTCTTTTTTCTGATAACCAATCTCTCTCTCTCTCTCTCCTTCAATCCAGCATATTATCAATTATTTATATATATTACAATTATATTTTAAATCTCCATCTTTCTTTATCTATTTCTTTCTTTCTATAATGATAATGCAAAACAACAAAACTAAAAAAACAAAAAACGAAAAAAATAATGAAAATCCTCGACATTTGATTTGATTTTTTTTTTGTATAAAACAAAATGATTCGATTGAGCACACACACACACACACACACCCCTATATACACCTTATATATATAAAAAGAAATTTGATCTTTGAATTTTTAAAATAAATGATGAAATTTTATCAAAAACTTTGAATTACGTTTCTCTGTTGTTAATTTAATTCGTTTTGTGAAAAAACGATGAATTTCACCCTAATCACTGCCACCTATCGTCGAGAATGTTTATTTATGAACATTAGAATTATATAACAAACGAATTGGTCAATTTTTTTCTGATTGCTGTTTTGATGTTCAATTCATGTTTGATAAAAGAGAGAGAAAGAAAGAGAGATAGAATATATGACATAATCAAAATTAGTGTCCTTGTTCATTCATTCATTCATTCATTCATACAATGGTCATTGGTCATTCCGTAATCATTATCATCATCATCGTCATCATGATGGAAATGACTCAATCGATACAAACAATAAAAAAAAAGTTTTTTTTTGTTTGACCCATACATATGATTGTCCGATTTTTCTTTTTATTTCGTTTTATTCCATTGGGCTTTTATCGCCAATTTTGACGGCAAAATCATTCCGGCTATTTACCCTTTTTTCCTGCTGTTGTTGTTGTTGTTTGTCGGATCTAATGTTTAGTGTGCACGTGGTCGGAATCATCATCATCATCATCATCGTAATCATCAATATCTACGATTGAATATCTCAAATACGTGCATGATGTATCTACATACACGCGTGCACGTACACACACACACACACACACACACACTTACAGACCCTAAAGAGTAAACGGCTGTGTCTGTGTGTATAAAAAAAATAAAAAAACTAATCCATTCGGTCACCAATAACCTAGTTTTTTACCAAAAAAAAAGAACTTTTGAGTTGACCAGCTGACCATCATCATTGCTTTTGCAATGAATGCATTTTTTGGTTTTGGTTTTTTACTCTTTGATCTCAATCAATCAAATGCATATATATATCGAGCAAAAAAAAACGCGTGCCAGATGCAAATTTGTCCATTCATCATAAAAATACACACATTTGTACTCACACTATAGTCGTAATATGCATTATGGAATTAGATGGATTTTCTCCTTTTTTTCCATGATTATTGTTTGTTACTGTTATGATCAATGCAAAAAAAAAATTCACATAACGTACTTTCACTGACCCAATTTCTCAAAAATATCAAATAGTCATCTGGCATAGTATGGCATTATTGGAATTCTTAATTCTGAAATTAATTCTATTCGATTAAATAAATGAAATTATTACTTTTTTTCCCCGTTCCACTATAAAGATTTGGCCAAAATTAATGGATTTTGTTCAGAAATCAGAAAAAAAACCATAGGATGAATTCCTTCCTATTTGTTTTGTTACTTATTGGAATACCGTTATTCATTTACATTTCGAATAAATGTATGTACATTTTATTCAAATTTGAATTTGAATTCATTTGATGTTTTTTTATTCTTAATATATTGTCATAGATAACATATTTTTCTGCTGTAGTGAATATAATGAGGATGACGATGACGATGATGATGATGATTATGATCCAGAATCAAATCGTCATCATCATCATCGTCGTCGTCGTCGACGACGACAACAACAACAACAACAACAACAAAAACGTCGTCGTATTAAATCAAAATCAAGGATGAATAGAACACGTAAACATCGAAGACGTAATGAAGATATTTCAGATGATGATTCACTATCCAGTGTCGATGATTCAAGTTTGAATTTATCGAATAAACGAAATAACGTTGTTGTTAAACGTGAAAGAAAACAAACAACAACAAAAACAACTAAAAGACATGAAAATCACCATCAAAGCAATAATGTTCGAAATGATAATGAATCAAATGGCCAGAACAAAGATGTTGATGATATGCTTAATGTGGTTAATTCAAAAATTATGGCCAACAATGATAAACAAACATCTTTTGATGAACAACAGCAACGACCACAACAACAACAACAACAACAAAAACAATCGATATTTCCAAACAATCAAATGGCTGATGTTCAAAGTAGACCAATCAATATTGGTAGTAGCAAATCACCAACACCAGAACCATCAATGAAGAATCATCGAAGAGATGAAGAATTTTGTGAACATGCTTACATTGTCTATAATCCTCGATTAAATACTATAGCCTTGTCACGTACATTGAATGAATTGGTTCGACCAGATTCAACCATCATCTATAAAGTGGATGAAACATCAAATAATGAAGATAAAATACGTATCAAAAGCCGTAATAATAATGGATCTATAGATGAAAGTAAAGTAAGTGAAAATGATTTGTCCAGTAAATAATCATTGATTGATTGATTGATTTGTTTGTATATTTAAAATTTTTTTCAGAAAAAAAGTGCAATATCAAAAAGTTTACGATCTGATTATTTCATTGTCAATAGTAATCTTTTGCTTAAAGATTGTCAAAATGATGATGCTGGTGGTGAACATATTAAATCATCATTATCATTAACAATGACTGACAACATCATGCCAGATCAAAAGAAACCGTTGGCAATGGTGGCAACAAAGAATGATGATACTAATGAAACAGTTCATGTCAATGATCAAACAGTTTTTGTTTATTCAACTAAAGTTCCAACAAGTCTTAAGAATCAATGGACAACGACAACGGCCACCATTCCAACGAAATCAATTTCAAGTAAACGATCCATCGTTGTTGAAGAGCGAGCAAAACATGGATATTCATTCGAAAAAAATAGCAAAAATTCTCGATCATCATCTGGTCATGAACGATCATCATCACGTGAAAGCTCTGAAGACAGTGATGGTAATGATGATGATGTGTTGTTTGTAAGACAAAGAAATCGCTACCATCGATCATTATCGCGTAAACTAAAATCTTCAAGAATTGGCCATCAAAAAAGAAAATCGATGAAACATGATCGTCGTCTCAAGTCGACGTACATTAACAAAAAACGTAGAAAATCCAATCGAGAAAAGAGACGAAAACGATAAATAATTTGCGTAAAAAAAAAGAAAATTTATTCTTCAATGAATACAGTGAAATTTTTAAAAAAATTAAATTTTCAACTAGTCATCTCTTCTTTAGCGGGACTTTCTTCTTTTGTCGCACTTTTGGTTGATTTTCGTTCATCAATATCATCGTCTAAATGATTATTGCCATTCTGATTTGATTCATTTTGATTATCATTTTTTGATTCAGATTTCAAAGATGAACGACGATCTACAACAGTGGCGGTGGAGGTATTATTATTCTCTTCACTTTTTATACTGACTGGTGAATCTTCTTTTTTCGTCGATGATGATAATTCATTTCCCATTCTACTATCACGTAATGCACTGTATTTTGATATTGGTGTTGAAACCACCGTACCCATTGGACAGACATAATCTGTTAATTCGAAATCGGCACGTTTTTTTCGAAGTGTAAAATGTCCTTTTTGTATGCCTAAAAAATACAGAATGGTGGTTAATTGAAAAAAAATTTGAAAAAAAATTTTCTTACTTTGATTTTTGCACCTGGTATCAATGGCTGATAATTGGGCATTAATTCATATTCGTGTTTTGTTTTGCTCAAATGATCACCAATTAATTGCTTAAATTTCGATGAGATATGTCGACGTAATAATGTTTTGCTCGCAGGTATGCTTAACAATGTAGCAAATAGATCGGCATTGAATGCATTTTCATATAGGATCAATGCACCATGTACACCCGAACCACGTAAGATTTGGAGCATATTCCGATAGATCAATACTACGTAACCATTCCATTATACGATGTGAAGACCAAACAGCCACCTCTGTATTGTTCCATTCATTTTGACCAACTTCATCAGCAGCAGCTCTTCGTTTTAGACATTGTCCATTGTACTGGAAAAAAATTAGTCAAAATTGTCAAAGATAATGTGAAGAAAATTTGAAAATAATTACATTGTTCTCTCTTAGAACACGTATAGCTGCACGGATACTGGCAAAATGTAATTGATTCGTAACTTTCAAGTGTAATAAATCTTCAATATTCAGATAATGTAATACACGACCATCAACACGTGCATCAATGAATGATTCTTTGTATTGTGGTAGACCGATATCATCTAGCCATCGTGCTACCCACAAATAATCCAATTTTCCTGCACATTTCAATAGATCATCTTCTTCTTCATTCATTGAAGCCACTGCTAGTCGTAATTTTTTCCGATGTAATGAATTCTTAATGCCCAATTCTTTTTCAACTTCCCATGAAGTTGCACGCATCAGATGTTCACCATTTTTACACCATCGTTTACATTCATTAATATACATTCCTAATCCAATCATGGCAAACCAATCGGCCACTAATGTTGTTCCCCAATTTGAAAATGGTATGTTGACACTAAATATGATGAATTTGGTGAAATTAATTTTATACGTTGAAAATGGATTTATAATAATACAAACTTTTGGAATTTTTTCTCCTGGCTAAAACCAAGTCTAGGTCCAGATGTGGCTCTTAATCCACCACGTGAAAATGAATCGGAAATTCCAGCCAATGATGATGTGCTTCGTTTTCTGTTGTTCATAAAGAAAAAAAAAACATTTATTAATTTATAAATCAACACAACAACAATGAAAAATACCTAGAGAAAATTCTTCTCAATCCTTTTGGTTTTGAATCATCCAAATTGATACGTGGTGCAATCACTGTGTTGTTGTGTGTGCCAGATGATATCATTTCATCGTCTTGAGCTGAAATTAAAGTAGTGAATGATAAATGATTAGAAATTGGATATTTTCAAAACAAAAAAAAAACAAAATATTCAATTGCAATTCAATGCTTAGGTTAGCGCAAATCAGCCAGTATTAATTAATTGATGATAATAAAGCAAAGATTTCATTGATTACTATTAATGCTATGCAAATGGTGATATTTCATTAGAAGCGTATACAATGAAAAAAAAACAAGGAAAAAAATTCTTTCACCTAATTCTGGCGCACTTGCTGCCCTTCTACTCTTCTTTAACCAACAAAATTTTTTACCAAAATTCACACCAAATCCAGATGATGATTCTTTATTATTTGGATGGCGTGATGATGAAAATGGCGATGGATGTAAAGAAGATTGTTGTAGTTTAAATGGTGTAATCATCGGTGAATTTGGTGTCGAATAAGCCTTATTATTGTTAGCGGCAATCATCATCATTTGTTCTTCATCAATCAATGATTGTGACATTGGATGTATTGTGGCGGATGGATGATGATGATGATTTGGACTATTTTCCATTTCAAATTGTCGTTGAATTTGTTTCATTATTTTTGAATTATGTGGCAGTGTTGAAAATGAATTTTTATTCAATTTATGATCATTTTATTATTATTATTATTGATAACATTTGTATCAAACAACATCATATGTTGACTATCCATCTTCATATCTTCAAATGAAGTTGAACGTCGTAACATTGTTGTTGTTGTTGTCGTTGTTGGTTGTTGTGATTGTTGTTCCACAATATTTTGATTATTATCAAATGATGGAAGCATTATGATGATTAGACAATGATGATTGTTGCCGTTGTATTTGTTGTTGGCCATGTTCGGCTATTGTTGTTGTTGTTGTTGGTGGTGATTGTTGATTATTATTTCGATGTGATCTTGGTGGTGCTACCGGTGAGAAACGACCACCACCACTTGATTCACGACGAGATGATGGTTCTGAATAGAAATAGTTACTGTTTCGTACAAATGGGCCAAACGTTAATTCATGATAATTTTCTTTGAATTTCTAGATTTAGATAGAAAGAAAAAAAAAAGAAAACCGAAAACAATTTATTACTCAATATAATCTATTTATAGATATCTATCTATCTATACATCACCATCAGCACCACCATGATCAACATCACCATCACCACAATCATCATCATTCATCATCAAATTGTTTGACGTTGTACTTACATTTTTAATATAATCACTTGCTATAGTTTTACCCCGTAGTAATGCTAGCTCATTACCCGACAATATATAACCGGTGGCACGAACAATTTTTGCCATAGTCAAACGTAATGATGATATTTCTGTATCTTTTTCCAATAATCGTGTCTTTAGCTGTTCGAATTCATTTTCAATTTTTATATTTTGTTCTTTTAAAATTTTTTGTTGACTTTCAAAATGTATTAAATCCAATTTCAATTTATCCACTATTGTTAATAGATCACAGTTTGCATTTTCCATTGTTTTTTTCGATATTAATGCTTTTTTAAACAATTCTTCAGTGTTTAACAATTGATTTCTTAATATATTCACCATCGATTCAAGTTGAATGATTTTTTCCATTTTTACATTATTATTATTATTGACATGTTGATGTTGATATTCATCACCATGCTGTTTTCCATGCTGCTGCTGCTGTTGAAACAAATAAAAAGCCATTTATTTAGAAAAGTTGATTTTTTCAATTGGAAAAAACAAAACGAAGAAAAATTGTTCACTAGTAATGGTCGAAAAATTTTCCTGTCTGCCTATCTGTGCATGCAGATAATGATGTTTTGACAAACGGAAAAAAATGAAAATGAAATACTAATCTATTTGAAAAGTACAAATGAAAAATATGCCCCAGTTTTTTTTCTACCAAAAAAAAAAATCCATCCAATGGATATAAATCACGAATCAAAACGAAGAACATATCCTCGTCATTAACTTTCGTAATTTTTTTTGTTGTGTGTGTGATGATCAAGTTATAACATCGAAACCAAGCAATCTATATAGAACGAATTTGATATCCTTTTTTTGTGTGTGGTAATCACACCAAAAAAAAATTGGAAATGATTTTTTTTTATCTTTCTTGTTTCTCAAATTAACGATAAATAAAACGATGATTGCTAATTTGCTATCGATTGATGACGACAACGACGACGGAACACGAATTAATGAATGAATGAATAAATGAAAAACCGTGTTTGTTTGTGTGCGCAATCAAAATCTTTATCCGATTTTTATTACGAAATAAATAAACAAATAAATGTTATGTTTAATTTGCGTAATGATTAAAATCAATGAAGATGAAGATATTTAAAACGAGTATATATATTGAATGAGGATGGCAAGAAATTGATTTTAAATACACACAAATGATGTTGGTAATAAATTTGTCAACAGTTTTCGTTCGTTTATATTGTAGATTAAATAAGTTTGAATTAAATTTAGAAAAACACACAAACAAACTATTGCACAGGAAATGAAATGAAATAAAAATAAATAAACATACCTGTTGCACATCATCGGATGAAGATATTGATTTATCCATTGAAAAGAATGAATTATTTCCTTTATTTGTAGCCAATGAATCTGGACTTGGATTCATATCGACCAAATATTCAGCGGTTTGATTGTTTGTGGCACTATTTTTACCGCTACCACCATTGTTCATAATCTGGAAACCAAAAACGAAAAAAATGAGAAATTTTCAAATTAATGACCAGAAAAAAAATTAAATTTAATTTCAAAAAAATACGTCAATCTAACAAAACGACCAAAACAGGTAATGATTATTCAAATTAATGACCAGAAAAAAAATTAAATTAAATTTCAAAAAAATACGTCAATCTCAAAGCACTAACAAAACAAACAGGTAATGATTATTTCAGAAAATTTGTTCAAAAAAAATAACCTTTCGAAGGTTTGTTTGGCTTTGATATAAATTGTTTTGAATGGATTGTGATGATGATGGTGGTGGTGGTGGTGACAATAATGAAGCAAGATTAGGATATGAATGATTCATGGTGTATAAATTATTGTGGTTAGTCATTGATGAATTTGAATTATTATTATTATTAGACATATAATAATCATTGTCCCAATAATATTGACCCATATTATTGTTATTATTATTATTAATATTGCTGTTTACCGGTGTTGTTGTTGTTGTTGTTGTTGTTATTGGATTCACATGATGTAAATGATGTGAATCACAAAAATATGGATTCAAACATTGATTATAATATGGTGATGATATTGATGAATAGCCACCATCACTATTACCACCAATAGCCATTGTAGTATAATCATTATTACATCCTGGCATATTATTACGGCAACAATTGTTATAATTTCTATGAATTGTTGATGGAGATGATGATGATCGTTGTTGATATTGTTGTTGCGATGGTGGTTGATAAAGATGATATGAATTCGTAAATTTATCCATATGATTAATATAATGATGATGTTGATGATGAGGATTTTGTGTGGCCGTATTCAATGAAAACATTGATCCAGGTATACCGGATAATGATGCCGGTTGTTGATGTTGTTGTTGTGATAAATATGCCAATGATTCTATAGACATGTTATTATAATTACCACCACTACTACCGTGAAAACCAAGATTTTTCGTCACTTCTTCTAATAAATATGGATCAACAGAAGCTCGTTGATGAAATGATGATGATGATGATGGTGATGATTGATAATGAGGTTGATGATAATAATAATGATGAGGTTGGTGTGTTATGGCTGCTTTTAAATTATAATCATCGATTGGTTCACTTAATCTACGAGATAATGTTCGATCTTCATGATATTGATGATGGTGATGATGATGATGATGATTAGGATGATAATGGTGTTTATGAAGTTGTCGTTGAGGATTTTGTTCATGCTGTTGCATCAATGATCTATTAATGGTGGTTACATTGCTTATTGCAGCATTATCAGCATCAACATTCTCTTTATCTGATACAATCATAGTGGCTGTTGCATTCGATAATAATTCATGATCTGAAGAGCCAATGGTTGTGGCAGTTGTTGTCGATGTTGTTGTTGTTGTAGAGTCCGAAAATTCATCTTCTTTACCATCATCATTTGATGTAACTGATTTTTGATGTTTTAACTCGTTTTTGTTTGTTTGATGTCGATGATGGTGGTGGTGGTGATGGTGTCTAGTCGACCTTTTTTTACATTTGCCACCACCTTCATTATTACGGCCAAAATGATCATCGTCTTGATGTTGATGATGAGAAGATTTCTTCATGTTTCGACACTCACTCACACACACGTTTTGTCATCCAATTTAGTTCCGGTACAATGTTGTTATCATAATGATTTTGATGCGGCTTTTGTTTTTATTTTTCATGTCTTGTTTTTTTCTGCCCATCTTTATTGTCATTTAGATTTAATTATCATTTTTTTTCTCTCTCTCCGGAAAAACAAAGAGGTTAGTTGGAGGAAAAGAAGAGAGTTGATTATTTTTCAATTAACAAAAACAAAACAAAAACAAAAAAAAAAAAAATTTTGTGAATGCGGATAAGTTAAAATAATCAAGCGAAACGAAAAAAAAACAAAAAACAAACGAAAGAGAAAACAAAATGATGACAAAAAAACATTATTGTTAATGACGAATACTAGGTAAAATTGTTGTATTATTGTCGTTTCTTCTTTTCTTTTTCTTATTTAAGGTCGAGGATGATTATTGATCATCACTGTATACCACCAGCATCAAGCACCACCACCATGAAAAATATCATCATCATCATCATGATGACGATTTCAATACTTCTTCATCATCATTTGGATTTCATTTTTCAATGATCGTCGTCGTCGTCGTCATCATCGTCATCTTCATCATGATGGTGGAAGGACACATGTAAGGATTTTTCGTTTGTTCGTTCTTTGTTTTCTTGATGAAGATATCAAAAAACACACACACACACACACTTAAAACAGCATGCCGTCGTTTATATAACTGTAAATTTTTATTATTTTATCATCGATTGATTGTTGTTGTTGTTGTTGTTACAGCTTTTTTCCCCATTTTAATTGGAAAATCAAAAATAAATTGAGCGATAAATTGTGCATTCTCCAAGGCAGAAACACACACACAAAGACATCCCGTTTCTTCTTGATAAACATGAATCTTTTTTCTTTTCTTTACTTTTTTTTGGCATTTAGCAACTAATGTTGATTTATACAAATTTCTTCTTTTCTCCACACGAGGATTAATAATAATGCCAATGCCGTAATTCACACTTTTTTTTTTTCTTCTTCTCAATGAGTTTCAATATATATAAAAGCGATGGTGGAAAAAAAAGATGCGGCACCAATCAAATGTTTTTGTATATTAATGGCATACACACAAACACCGGTACATAAACACACATACACACACACACACAGATGCTTTGCAATGTATAAATAATAATAATAAAAATTATTCAACATGCGAATACATGTGAAATGAAAATGCAATAGAATCGGATGAATGGCAAAAAAAATTTTCTTTTTCTTCTTCTTCTTCTTCTTCTTCTTATCCTCATCATCTCATCATAAATATATTGCTGTTCTCTTCTCAATATTCGTGTATTGTAGAGCTTTATCATGGAAATTTTTCGTTTTCCTCTTTCTTTTTTTTTTCGTTCTTCTTCTTCTTCGTCTTAACTTCCAGTTCTTGATTTCAATGATTATTGCTAGTTCAAATGGCTCCAATGGTATTTTGGGTGTTTGTTATTAGTAGTAGCAAAGATACATTTAGCATTTAGTTTTTTCAAAGTAATAAAGAAACTTTGGTGTAGAGAAAACAAAAATGTGCGGGAAATAAGAATTTTCAAACAAACAAAAAAATAGTCAGTCTATCTGTGTGTGTGTGTGTGTGATAAAAATACAACTCAAACAACAACAACAACAAGTGAATCTTTTTAAAAAAAGTCGGACTAAATTTTTTTCTGTTTCACAGTAAACAAAAAAAATAAGACGATGATCTCTTGTTTTTTGTGAAAAAAAACCATAGAATTTCATTCGACAACAACTTAACCTAACCATGAGAGAAGAGAATGTAACCTCGATTTTATTATGTGAACACCACCACCATCCCAAAAATCAAAATTCAATGTTTATAAATAGATTAAAGACATTTTCGTTGTTGTTGTTGTTGTTGTTGAATATGATCGTGTTAAATTTGTCAAATCATTTTTCATTCATGTTGATGATGATTGTTTTTCTTCTTCACTATGTCACAACATGAATGAATTTTTTTTTCATATGGACAATTTTGATTAGCAAATAAAAACAGGAATCATTTTCCAATCGATCAACAATAATAATCACATCCACTGAGATACATCAAAAAACAATTTTCAAGTAGACAAATCATGTCATGTCATGTCAAGTCATGTCATTTTGACTTTTCTTCCACTGGTTATTTGAAGATACATTGTATTTTTTTTTTCAATTCATTCATAGATCAATTTGCTTCAATCATCATTATTGAATCAATAAAAAAAGTGAATCAAATACTTTTTTTTCTGTATTGTTGAGCAACAACAACAACAACAACAACAAAATTGTGGTACTTAAAACAACAACAACAACGACGACCGACATTATATAATAATAAACATGAACGAAATAGAGAGAAAAAAAACTGTCAGTTTCGGTTAAACCGTGTCTGTCTGTCTTGTTGTTGTTGTTGTTGTTGATTGGATTCGCTAATTCGTTGTTATTACATAGGTAGTGGACTAAACTAAACTAGGAAAAAAACTACCGTTTTATTTTTTTCAATAAACGAAAAAAAACCAGAAGATTAGATTGTCAAACACAAATATTTATCATTAATAAACACATATACATTGAATGAATGAATGAATGATGATTTGTAGAGGGAAGAAAAAAAATGAAAATTTTTGTCTCGCTAGTTAGTCAGTTAGTTAGTTAGTTAGGTGATGAAAAATGAATGAAAACACACACACACACACACACACACTCACCGTAAATTGTAAGCCAATTTTTTTGCTCTGGATATCCAGACATCAAACAAACATCAAATATCTAATAATTTGGTCAGCAGTTAACGACGACAACAACAACAACAATCATCATCATCATCATCACATCACATCACACACAAGATCGGTTATTACGGTTGTCAAATTGTTATTTCAATCATTAACAACAAAATATTGACCATTTCGGTTGTTAAATAATGTTTGTGAATACAGACACACACACACACACAAATACACAAACAGAAATGAAAATAGAAAAAATCCAGATATTTGGTTGAACAATTTTTTAGTGATGATGAACTGATAAAAAAAAAAAAAAAAATTGTCAAACAAAATTTATTAAAACATCCATGATCTACATTGAACAATTTTTTTTAACAATGATGATTCATGTTGATTGTGAATTATTGACATGTCACACACACACACACACACTAAAAAAGGATGAAAATTTTTCTTTTTTACTCTATGAATGAATGAACATAATAAACTTGTTGTGTTGTTCATGTTCATTGCTGGTCGTTGCATCAACAACAACAACAACAACAAAAATTCATTCATTCGATTAAAAATAAGAAAAAAAAATTTAAAATGAACATCTGAATGTATGAATTATGACGATAAAGATGACGACAACAACAACAACAACATCAAACACATTCATATATAGAAAACAAGCGAATAATAAAAGAGCCTGAACCCACACTTATTACATTCTGTTTTTTTTCTTCATTGATCATCATCATCATCATTGAATGGCGCTTTAAACCCGAAAAGATCACTAATTTTCTATTATGAAAAAAAAAAAATCTTAATTTATGTTGTTCTGGTGTGGTTATTGTGTCTGTCCATGTCTATGTCCATAAATGATCATTATAACAATGATGATGATGATGTTTAAGATTTGTAAAAATTGTCAGATTCAATGAATGTTATCTACCTACACACACACACACACACACATTGACTATGTTTAATCAATCGTCAAACATAAACATCTTGAATTTTGGGTTGGGACTTTATTTCATTTCATCATGAATAAATGAAACACACTAAAAGTCAGTAATTTTCATTCATATGTCCATATCATTCGAAAAATTGTTTTTACACCCAACAAAATTATTGTGTTATATCTCAAAATCATTCAATCAATCAATGATCGATTACTGGGGGAAATACACTGATACAAATCTGCCATCTATCATCAGTTAATAAATTTGATATCTTTTTCCCATAATTCGAAATTTGAACAAAAAAAAAACACTTACATTTGAAACATCATTTTGATTTTCATCGGCATTTCGACACATCGGTGATGATGACAATGATGATGATGATGATTCTTGTTCATTTGACGATGGTAAGTTATCTCCATCTTTTGAATATTCTTTTAATTCTTGTAATAATCGATTTAATTTATCCTGTTTTCTTTCTAATGTTTTTCTCTGTTGATGACCATTTTGATTGGATGAATCATTTGGATTCATATCGTTGTTGTTGTTGTTGTTATTCACAATTTGATTATTTGTTGTCGAATCGATTAGATTGATTTCAGAATTAGCTAATTAAAAAAAACAATCAAAAATTAGAATTAATTGATTATATCAACATCTAAATCAAACTTACTTGCAATGATACCATCCATTTTTTGTAATGCAAGATGTAATATTTGTGATGCATTCATTGTATCGCCATTGTTATTGTTCAATAATCGATCATTATCATCATCATCATCACCATTGTTACTGTTGTTGTTGTTGCTGCTACAATGATGATTATCCATTTCTTTCGCAATAATAATCCAAAAAAAATGTGGCCAGATTGTTCTTTTTTTTTGCTGATGAAAAAACAAACAAACAAACAAATTTTGAGCAAAATCAATATATAGAAACGAAGATAATCCACTATTACAGGATTATGATGCGATAGATCTGGTAAAATTTGATCGAATGAAAGAAAAAAAACGTTTTTTAATAAACCATAATTTATGTATCAAAATGAAACCAACGGCAACCGATAGAGTTGGCAAAAGACAAACCTTGATAATGTTGTTGTTGTTGTGTGATACAATCAGTGAATAGTTTGATACAAAACAACGATGAATCGACAAATTTTTATATATTCATTAGATTAGATGATGAAAATTCAGTTTATCACAAAATGTTTTTTGTTTTTTATTTGTCTGTAATGAAAAACAAAAACTCCCGGAACAATAATGCCAACTTGTTGATTATATTCGAAGATGAAATAATCACGAACAAGAATATAGAATGTTTAATTAGAATACTGTGAAATTTTTTTGGAATTAGATAGCGCGATTGGTACATTGAAACAATAATAAAAAAGGCTAAAAAATTGGGGGCCAATCGATACTGATGACCCCACATAAACAATCAACTGGCCACGGCCCACCCATTGACCGCTTGTCAAAATTTTTGCTCAATTTTTATGGCCAACACATCAACGATACGTCGTTTATTTATGGGACTCAATTTAGCTGTCAAATTCATGGTCGGTTGATTTTTTTTTCTCATGTTTTTTTTCTTTTAATTTGAATTTTTTTGATTTCGTCGTCGCAACAATGAGCGTCGAAATACCGGAAATAAAATGTTCGATAATTATAGAAAATTTATCCACCAATGGATCATTATTGAGTAAATCATCTATAACAAATGGTCGGCTAAGTTTATGTCGAAATCATAGTGGTGATTGTGTTTTGCTTGTTTGCAATGATAAACAAACATCGAAAGAATCGAAACGTTTTACAATGGCTAAAAATAAAGGCAATTATCGTCTGAATACTCGATTTGTGAGCGAAGGAAAATGTTCCATTCTACTTATCGATTATAATATCAGGCTTTTCATATCGAATTGTCCATCAAATGATTTATCATTATTTTTAAAAGGATTCTGTTTAAAATGTAGTAATCGTGAATCATTATTCACATCCAAATGTCAACTATTCAACACTAATCCAAATGCAACCGCACTTCGAATGAATAAATCACGTAGTTCGAATATTGAAAAAATAAGTCCATTAACTGGTAATGATTTCATTAAAGCGATATCGTTTCGTGATCGTACGAATTTACAACCACAGCAACAACAACAACAACGATCAAATAGTCAAACATTTGATAACCGTTTGAAACAAAATCAACAGGCGATGAACACCTCACCATTGGCAGCAAAAAATGTAAATTTTCAGAAACGAAAACTTGATACAAGTAAGTCAATAAAGTCATTATAAATAAGTTTGTTTAATTTGGCTTTTTTTTCTTCCATTCTGTTTGTAGTTTTGGAAAAAATTTCCGAATCTAGTCCAAAAACTAAACGCAAAATATTATCATCATTCATTCCATCGCCTATTCGTTCATTGAAAGTGTTGAATGTAAACAATCTTACGGATGATCAATCAAAAGTTGTGAGCGCCGTATTGAATGGACAAAATGTTTTTTTCACTGGTAGTGCTGGTACAGGAAAATCATATCTACTTAAATTCATCATTAGTCGTCTACCACCGAATTCAACTTTTGTTACGGCCAGTACCGGTATTGCTGCATGTCAAATTAATGGTATTACTTTACATTTATTTGCCGGAATTCCAGTCAGCTGGTTAGAAGGTCAACAACAACAACAACAACAGATTGCCAATACACATCGAAAATCGACACCACAAGAGATTGTTTCACGTTTATGTCGAAATGAACTTAAACTACAACGATGGAAAAATTGTAAATGTTTAATCATTGACGAAATATCAATGGTACCTGGAGATTATTTCGAAACACTCGATAATGTTGCACGTATTATAAGAAAGAAAAATTCTCCATTCGGTGGTATTCAATTGGTTGTTTGCGGTGATTTTCTACAATTACCACCAATTTCAAAACGATCTCAAGCAAAAAAGAAACACGCTTTTCAAACTAAAGCTTGGCAAGAAGCTATAAAATATTATTTCGAATTACGAAAAATTCAACGTCAAACCGACGAAACATTCATCAAAATATTACAAATGATACGTGTTGGTAAAATGGATAATTTTGTTCGTGATACCTTGCTAAAAACAGTTCAAAATGATTTACGAAAAAATGATTCGACCATTCCTACACAATTATTTCCCTTACGTCAAGATGTTGATTCAGTGAATCAAAGCCAATTGTTGAAATTAGAATCACAAACACATTTGTTTGTAGCCGAAGATAGTAACGGTGTTTATAGTGAAATACTTGATTCACTTTGTCCAACACCATATCGTCTTGAATTGAAAATTGGTGCACAAGTAATGTTGAATAAAAATATTGATCTAAATCGTGGACTGGTCAATGGAATGACTGGTACGATAATTCGTTTTGAATGTGAATCAAGCAACCTGGGTTCTCAACAACAACAACAACAAAGATTGCTTCCACGAATAAGTTTTGTCAACGGTGTTGAAACAATAATTGGCTATGATAAATGGTCATTTCGTTTGCATGATAATTATTCTGTTTATAGAAGACATTTACCATTACAATTAGCATGGGCATTATCGGTACATAAATCACAAGGTATGACCATTACGAATGGTGTAGAAATTTCGTTGGCTAAAATATTCGAATCTGGTCAAGCATATGTTGCTCTATCACGATCAACATCATTAGACAGAATAAAAATACTCAATTTTAATATCAACAACATAATCGTTGACCGTGATGCATTAGAATTTTATAAACAATTAAAATATGTCATCTAAATGAATATACAAAAAATACTTTTTTTTAAATTAATTTTTTTTATTAAAAATAAATTTTTTTTTTCATTTTTTGCTATTATAAAATACATGTTGATGTTGATAATAATTTTTCATTTTTTGATCATATTCTTCAATTCTATTTCCATCTTTAGTATCGATTTCATGATTCGGCAATGAATAACCAACCAGGCCGGATGACCATTTTAGATATTCACGTAAATATTTACCACAAAACATTGGTGGTGGATCACTACGATCCATTGATTCTTTCGGTATTCGATATGCACGATTGATACGCATCTCACCGGTTTCTAAATCCACTTTAATTGAACCTAGATCTTCTTCAGTTGGAAGTCCATCCGGAAATTTCAATGGCTTCAAACGAATCAAATGTTTAATCTCCCAAAGCATATTATTATAATGTGGTGTATTCGGTATAATAACTGGTATGTTTTTTTTCAGTTGATGCATTCCCAATCTCCGAAGGATCAATTTATGATTCCAAGGATTGCCATATAATGATTTATATCGCCATACTAAATGAAAAGGTGAAACATCTTCATCATTCAATGGTTTAGCACGAATCTCGTTGATTTCAGCAAATTTTTCTTCTAATTGAGTTTTATTAATACCAAATGGATATCTATACATTTTTGTATCACGTTTTTTGTATTCAAACGGTCCTTTATAAACCGGATTATAAATGTAACGACGAATTTGTCGATGAAATTGTAATATGAAACTCATTTTTACATTCAAATAAAATTAGAAAAAAATTAATTTAATTTGAATACAAATGAATCACATGTTATTATGGCGACTATTTCCACATTAATTTTGCAATCATGTTTGAAATAGTAAATCAAATTGCTAAAATTCCAAATTATCAATAACAATTGCTGAGAAATGAATAAAATTTAGTAAATTTTATTGGTGATCAATTTGAAAAAATAAACTTATTATTTGCTCGAAAATGTCTAAATGTATCAATTTTGCATTGGATCTTATGCGTTATCTTTATCGAGAAACATCAAACATTGTATTATCGCCCATATCATTGGAAATAGCGGCATTAAGTATAATTGCCGGTATTAAAGATGTTTCATTTGATGAAATGCGAGATGCCATTTTTGATAATAAAATCAGTTCAAGAAACATTAACGATTTAATCAATTCAATGGGATCGTTGATCCATGAACTTAAATCACAACAAGATGTGGAATTTAAAATGCACAATTTCATCTATGTTTCATCGAAATTCAAATTAATCGATCAATATTTGGACAACGTCATTCGTAATCTGGATACACGTGTCAAACAGGTTAATTTCGATGACCAAAGTCTTGAACTTTATAATATCATCGATGCTGAAGTCAGGTAATTTGTATAGAATTATTGAATTTTATTTTTTTTTTTGTAAATTATGATTTTTTTTCCATCCTTTAATAATCACACAGCGATGCAACAATGGGACGTATCAATAAAGTGATCAAAAATGTACCGACCGTATCAAACATGTTAATCATTAATAGTACAACATTACAAATGAATGAAAATCATCATTCAACATCATTTTCATCGGCAACATCAAGACAAATGAGACAATTATTTAAAAGTTCTTATGAAGGAAAAAGTAATAATACGAATACGAATACAAATAATCCAACCGAATATGATAGCTTTATGGATATCACATTTTCTGTACACAATGGTCTTTTTAAATATTATCATGATAATGAACAAGGTTACACATGTGTAGAATTGTCATATAATGTGAATAAAAATCTAAATCTAATACTATTGCTACCAAAAGAAGGTACAAGTCCAAGAGATATAATGAATCAATTATCACAAAATAAACTTGTATCATTATCAAGATCAATGATGTTGAAACGATTGGAGATAAAAATTCCTGTAATAAAATTAAAAATGAATATCGATTTAGCATATATTTGGCAATTGATTGGTATACAGAAAATTTTCGAACCAGATGATGCAGATTTCAGTACATTGGCCACAAATTATAAAGGACTATGTCTTGAATCAATAATATTTAATTCGGAATTTAATTTAAATGGAAATTTTAAAGAAAAAAGTATGAGCAAAGGAGAAGAAAGAAGCAAAAGTAGTAGTAATAGTAATAGTAAAAGTGGTAATAATATTCGATCATCTACAATAAATAAAAAAAGTTCAACATTATTACCGATTGTATTTAATAGGCCATTTATTTATTTTGTTACCTGTAATGTTAAAGATCAACAACGAAAAGTGATTATATTCGCCGGCGTTGTTAACAATTTGATTGATTCGAATTAAAATTAAAATTGTTATTTTTTCCCACCCAATAAAATTTAAAATTCACCAATTAAATAACGAGCTGTTAATGCGGCTATAATAATGATGAAAAAAAAAATTCAAATTATAAAATAACATATCAATCATGTCATTTATGATATATGTCTGCTTACCGATTGGTGCTCCAGTTGGTACACCGGGAAATGATCCTGATGAACCAGCAATATCAATATGAGAAAATGGTATCGGCAGATCGGAATCGATTCCATGTTGATCCAATTTTGAAACCTGAATCAAAAATGCTGCAGGTATTTGATGGCCACGTGGTGTCCGTGATGATGGGGCATTGTTACTTTGAAGTATTTCTTCATACTCTGATTTGCCTTCATTGAATTTGAAATCTTCACGACGAATGGTGGATATTTCGAACAAATCACCAACACGATCACCTGCTTCTTGAATTAATTGTGCTGTTCTTTTTTTTCTTGCCGGACCATTATCAAGAATGATGGAATAATCAAAACCAACAGCCATACAACAATGGCCAGTCAATGTTGCAATAGTGAACATTTCAGGATTCGGAATTTGTTCGGCAATAATTTTCTCTTTATAATAGGTCAATAGATCGACCATAGCCATTCGACCTTCAGCATCAGTATTACCAATACGAATTCGAACACCAGCACGTGAAACAATCAATTCATCGGCAACATAACCATTTGGACCTATACTATTTCTCACCATTGCCATAGCGCCATAGACACGAATTTTTTTCGGTTTCAATTTATTCACTGTTTCAAGAAAACCGGCAACAGCAGCAGCACCACATTTATCACGATGCATACCGGCCATTACACCGCCAGATTTAATATCACATCCACCAGTATCATAAGTGACACCTTTTCCAACCAAAAATAAAGTCTTTTCCGGTGTTTCTTCTGGTTCATATGACAAAAATATCACACGTGCTGCATGACGATCAACACTGGCTCGATTAACGGCAGCTATTTTTTTTTTTTTTTTTTTGAAAGAAAATTTACGTTAATGGCATCGCGTAATTATTATTATCAAGTAACTAACCTAGACAGGGAAATTCTTTTTCAATTATTTTCAAATCACTAATAATTTCCACTTTTACTGATGAATTTTCGAATAAAGCTTCAACATATTTAGCCGTGTTTGATGCACTCATTCTTTCTGGATCTGAACCACCAATATCTCTAGCGAAGCCACGACCACATTCAATTGCTTTGGCAAGTTCCATGATTTTTGTTTCACGTTTAACATCACAGAAATTTGTGAAATCAATAAAATCAACTTTAGTTAAATTTTTAAATTCACGATTCTCCAATGGTACATAGAGAATCTGATATACACCAAGCAATATGGCTAAATCATATAATGAATATTGTTCATGAAAACCATTGTTCGATGGCAATATAATCAATGGCATTCGTGCACCAGCTTTCAATGCACGTGATAATCCACGAGTTGCAGCATCCATAAATGTACGTACATCATCGAAATCTCTATCGATAGGTCCAACCGGTGTATAGATCAAACGTTTAAATGAACTATTTGGCAATACAATCATACCGCCTTCAATCTGATATTTAATATCAAATTCTTTTTGTTCATCAATCAATTTTCTATATTGTTCCAATTCTCTGGTGAATGTAAGTTTATCATCATATGATATAATGATCAATGCATCACATTTTTTGTCCGCTGAATTTGGTGCTAAATTTATACCGAATCTTTTTGTTTTGTTTTTTTTTTTTTTTTTTGGTTACCAGAATAAATCAAAAATTAAACATAAACGACAACAATAACGAATAAATTACTTACCTATGAGGCATATTGATGATGTCGGTGATGATGATGATAATTAATCAGTGGAAAAAAATGAAATTCTTCGTAATCTATGTATATAGTCAGATTAAAAAAAAGAGAATTTAAAAAAATGAATAATAAGTGGAATATAAAAAAAATTCTGGAATCAAACGGTGTGGTCGATCAATCAATTAATCAACAATCAAATGAAATAACAACGGCAGCAGCAGCAGCAGCACCATATATACACACAAACAGAAAATGAATCAATCAAGAAAAATTATAATTTTACAGTGTAAAAAAAAAAAAAATTTTTATCAATCCAAAATCACAACTATCTAATCACAATTGTATCGTATCATAGTTTTTTTTTCTAATTAAAAAAAAACGAGAAAAAACACCCACACAACTATCAATTTTTTTTTGTTTCCGAATAAAAAAAAAAACATAGACTTAACGGTGCTATTTGATTATATCGTTATCATATCATCATCATATATATTTGGCAGCAAACAAATAAGCCATAAAAAAAATCTCCAAAGAAGAGAAAAGAAAAATAGATTTTCAATATTCATTTTATCGAAAATGGATAAAATACCATCACAAAGATTGATTTTATAATCATCATATAGTCGTCAACGACGACGATTAAGATTATCTTATACTAAAAAAAAAAACGATGACATGACCATTGAACAATGATCATCATAGGTTAAATTCTATCATCAATCTCATTTGATCTTCTCACATGGTTTATATTTTTCTTTTATCTTTCTTTTGTATGATGATGATGCTCTTCAGATATATAAATGATTTTTGTTTTTCTTTCTTTCTTTTTCTTTTCGAAGCTGATTTCGAAACTGAATTAATGAAAAAAATTTCAAACAAACCTGTAAACAACAACAACAACGAGTGAATAGACAAATTGAAAACAATATAAATAAAATTCAATTCAATTTAATTGACCAATTGATTGATTTGATTGTGTTGTATATAAGCATCGGATCAATCATCGATGATGAGAAATCAGCTGAATTAGAATATTTCATGATTTTAATCATAGATGGTGTTATTTGAAAATTTTTCATTTTCATCAATCCAATTCATCATTTAATAATCTTGAAAAAGAAGATATCTCTTTATCAAAAATCATCAAATCACAAGCACTATATATTCTTTTTTTTTGTTGTTTCATCATCATCAATATGTTGATGATAATTATATAACTATACACGATCATGATGATATCAATCATGGTTCATCATCATCTTCATCATCATAATAAAAATAAGATCTGAATGAATTAAGCATTTTTTTTTTGTTTTCGAAATAAAAAAAACAACAACAACAAATACCAAAATAATAATTATTGGATTTTGAGTTGAAGAAGTAGAAGAAGGAATACACAGAAATTAAATTTAGTTCATCGTCATCATTATCGTCAGAGAGGCACCAACAAATATACAAATCCTTTTTTTTAAACGAAACAATAATAATAATGATGATGATGGTGGTCGTGGTCGTCGTCGTCGTCGTCATCGTCGTCGTCATTTTCGTGGTTTTCTGGTGCCTCTTGGTTTTGGTATTTTTTTTTTTTTTTTTGGTTTTTATATTTCCAACAACAAACTATTAAATAAATTGGAATTCAGGAAAAAAAATCGACAAATATTTTCTGACATTCTATATAATATGATCCATACATACAAGTATAATAACTCTTTTTCAACTGGTTATATGGATCATTAATCGGATTTTTTTCTTCACCATTTCGTGGTCATCATCATCATCATCATGATGGATAATTAAAACAAAACACGAGCGCCTCTTTGATAGATTTTCTTCAAGACGAAAATATTTTTTTTTTTTTCTGTTCGGTAACTTTTTTTTTTTTTTGTTAATTGGTTTCCACACATTTATATACAATGATTCTAAATGGAAAAAATTTTTTTTTCTCCTTCTGATTAATGATCATTGACATGTTTTAACTCACTGGATATATCTGAAATGAATCGCGGTTGAATTTAAAATTGCCGCCGAAAAAAACTGACAAACTAAACAAATTCCTAAATATTTTTAGTATATCGAAGTAATCCTGTACAATATACTAAAAAAAAAAAAAAAAAATACACAGATGAATGAATAGTGGGCTATAGACATAACAAACAATAAAAATTCAACCAAAAGTCAGCTCAATACAAACAAACAAACAAACAAACAAACACACACACACACACAAACAAAATTGTCGTAGTAGTCTTTATTATTGCTGTTGGTTGGTTGATTGGTATTTTACCGAATCGAACCCGAAAAAAAAAATTTTCTTGTGTTCGTTGATAGATGGAAAATTTGGGCAACCAAAAAAAAAAAAAAAATCATTAAAACCGCGCCACTACCGTAACGTAATATGTCGCAGTCTCAAAAGTGTAAAACAAAGACAGACAGACAGACAGACTGACTGAGAAAAAACCGAGAATACCAGAACCGAAACATTGGAATGATACGATGATGATGATGATGATCCGTGGAGTCTCTCTAAAATTCATAAACAGAAGATTCTTCTTTTTTTTTTTTAGTTTTTTCAGTGGTATAGTTATATGTTGCGTTGGATGTGCGTCTTGTTTTGTCTGAATTTTTTTTTTCTTCTTTTCGTTCATCATCATCATCATTTTTTTTTTTGATGATCATCGGATTCGGATTCATTCATTCGTCTGGTTTTTTTTATAATGTCTGTCTGTCTGTGTGTGTGTGTGTGTGTGTGGTGTGTGTTTCGAGTCGATTGTCGGCTTGTTTTGGTTAGCTCATAATTTCTTCTTTCATTGTCAATTTTCATCAATTCTTTATGCTTTCTGATATATTTTGTCTGTTGTGTGTGTGTGTGTTTGTGTATGTAGAAAACGAAGATTCCTCCACTATCCATCCATCTCTCGTTTTTTTTTGGGCCTCTATGTTGTCTATGTGCTGTTCTTCATTTCATGGCTCATGTGTGTTGTATATTTCTAAATTTTGAGGTTCTGGCTTATGGCTTTTCTATTTTTTTTTTTGGTTTTCTCATCATCAAATATTATGTGATATAATGTGAGGTGATGGTAATGTCTGTCTGTCTTTTCTGTGTATATGTGTGTTTGATTTGGTTTGGTTTTGGTTTTGGATGCGGTTATCACATACACACATCGACATCACATTTGCAACAAAAAAAATTTTTTTTTTTTTTAAGCATCGAAAATAGTCGTCGTCTCGCCTTCGTCTTGTTTTTGTTGTTGTTGTTGTTGCTGTTGTTGCTGCGTGTATTCCATGGCATACCAACGATATGTATACAAACACACGACATATACACCAATGAAAAAAAAACATCCATCCATTCAATAACATTTTTATCATCATCATCATCATTATTATTATTACACTAGCACCGTCAAAAAAATAGACAATCCCTCTCTCTCAATGTTTTTTATAGACAGCCAACATTGACGATTTATTAATCTGTTTTTTTTTTTGAATATAATTTTCGGGATATTCTTTTTGATTCTTTTTCGGTTTTTTTATTTTTGGTTTTGTTTTCTGGAAATTTTTTTTTGTTCCCCCACTTGTGATGTGTGTGTGTTTGTGTGTCTTTTGTTTGGAATGAAAAATTTTTTACTATTTCGACATAAACACACACACACATTGGATTTTGTTGTTGTTGTTGTTGTTGTTGTTTGTCTGAAAAAAACGTGTCTGTGAATCACACAAAAACAATCAATCGAACCAACGAATTTGAAAAGAATGATGTTTTGGAATTTGATCTAGTTTTCTCTCATCATTTTTTACAATTTAAATTTTTTTTCAGTGTTTTTCTTCATCATCATCATTGAGGTTGTTCTTCAAGTTTTTTTTTTGTTAATTCTCTTAATCACTACCAACCATCAACAAGAACAACAACAACTATCACCACGACCATATTTACCAAATTCAAAGAAGAAAAAAAAACTTGACTTTTTTTTTGTTAATACTCACCTCGACACTAGGATATTTTTTTTTTCAAATATTTTCTTGTCCTTCCACATGACACACACACACACACACACACACACACATGAATGCATGCAGAATACACATCCGTGTCTTTTGTTTGTTTGTTTGTCTTTGATATCATCAAAACGTGAACAAAATTAAAATTCAAAAGAAAAATAATACTGTGGTGTTTGTGTGTGTGTGTTTGTTTTTTCTATTTATTTACTTTTTTTTTTATTTATTTATATCAAACAAAATCATCATTTCCATTTTTTTTTTACCATCTACAGTCTGTGAGTATCTTTATTTTTTAAATAAAATTATAATAAAACAAGAATTTTGTGGTGTGAAAAAAAAGGAATCAAAAGAAATTCAAATGAAATCAAATACAATGATATTTTTTTTTCATCATCATTTCGAAAAAAAGAAGCTGAAAAAAATGATGATAAATTTACATAATAATGATTGGTGCTGGTGATGAACAACAAAAAAAAATGACGTTTGAATTCATAATCATAATCATCATCATTTTTTTGTTGTTGTTGTTGTTCTTTTCTTTCTTTCAATCTACATGAAATTCTTGAGAATTTTTTTTTTTGAATTTGTGAATTATTGATTAGAATTTTTGTGATTGACAAGATTTTATTTACTAATACCACTACTACTACTACTACTGCAACTATTACTACTGAGACTTTGACACAATTGTTCTTTTTTTTACAAAAATCATCATCATTTGATGACCACCACCATACACGTGACCACAATATGTGTATTTTTAGAATTATGTAAAATAGTACATCATCATCATCATCTTTTGATTTGATTTGATTGATTGATTGATTGAAAATAATGAAGAAACACACACACACACACACACCACTGTAAATACAATTGTTGAAAATATAAAACAAGAAAAGTAAAGTGAATATTATGTTTGAAAAAAAAAAAATACGAAATACGAAAAGGCGTCAATCATTTTCAAGTGAATAATGATGATGATAATAAGGCAATTGTACACTACAACAACAACAACAACAACAACTACCGGCTACTTTTTACTGAGTGAGTTAGAGAGAGAGAAAGAACTAACCAAAAAAAAAATGAAAAAGAGAAAATGTACAAAATTTTATAAATTCAATGAAATGAGAATAAATATTTCATTTCATTTTTTGTGTCCATTCGATTATTGATAGACATTCGATGTTCATCATTTGTTTGTTTGTTTGTTTCAGTTGTTGTTGTTGTTGTGGTTGTTAATGTGGTTAGTCTGTGTGTGTGTGTGGGAGAGAAAATATTTTAAAAATTTAATTTTCCCAAAATTTCATCTAATCATTTCTTCTTCTTCTTTTTTTTAATTTTCTTACAACAGATTTTGTAAAACGATTGATTAACCGTTAAAAAAAATCCACTAAAAGGCCTTTTTTTTTGGTTGGAATTTGGAATAATTGATCAATCATCGAATGAATGATCAAATTGCTGCTGCTGCATATCTGTGATTGAGAGAATTTCACTTTTACAATTAATTCAAATGAAACTTAACCAATCCATACAGAACAACAGCGATAAACGGAAAAAAATTTGAATTTTTAAAAAAATGTTCCTAGAACAAAATTTCTCTCCGTCACATAATTGATTTTTTTTTATTAAATTTTTTAAATATCAATCGAGCCCAGAGAAACAAACAGAAGCCTACTCTCCCACCCCCCAAAAAAACACCCAATTTAATGACCTCCCTAATGAGGACGGACGGCGATGTCCTTTAATAATTTTGGTCATCAATGCAACAACAACAACAACAACAATAGGAAGAATGGAATTAATAACAGTAAAAACAACAACAACAACAACAACAGCAGCAGCAGCAGCAACAATTGTAAAAATGCACATGTCACCAATTATCATGATAATTTTAAAAACCATAATAACAACAACAACAACAACCATCATAATCATCATTCGAAGGATTTTAATAATGAATCTTCATCATCATCATCATCATCATCCTCGACTATTAATTCATCATCAGCATCTCATAAAAATCATTACCATCGTTATAATTATAATCCATTGGCTTCATCCGCTTGTAATATTGCCGCTAATAACACAGCCACAGCAACCACCACCACCACCACCAAGAATCGATCATCATCATATTATGAAGATGATGAATTACGTCGAATGTATATACGACCACCACCTAATAGACATGCTTATGAAGCAATTTTTGCAGATAATAATAATCAATCAAATAATAAAATTGATTATCGATCATCATCATCATCATCTAGAATGGCCAAAAATGATAGATTCTCATCATCAAATCATAATTCACCATTTAGTTCCTCACCATTTCAATCATCAACAACTTCCAACAGCAGCAGCAGCAACAATAGCAAAAATAGCCAACAGACAAGCTCAAAATTTTCAATGTTTGGTAATTCTACATCATCCTTATTATCTAATAATTTATCATCAACCACATCAACGACAACATTATTATCATCACCAACATCGCCAACATCACCATCATCATCATCATCATCCTCATCATCATCATCGTCATCATTATCAGCAACAACAACAACCAGATTAAAATGGCCATCATCATTTTTATCACTTAACAAAAGATGACATAATACATTCATGTGTAATTCAAACAATAGCAATGAATATTGTTCCATTTACCATGGCCATTTTTTTTTCATTAATTCTGTTTACTCGATAGCTATTATTAAATGGAAATGAAAATGAAACACGTAGCCAATTTTTTTTTCGGTAACAAAAAAAAAACAAATATTGATTATGATCTCGTTTTTACATATATAAAAAAAAAAATTTCATTCGTTTTATTTTGTTGTTTATGCCATTGGCTATCGTGGTTTCAATTGAATCAAATGAATTTATTCAAAATTGTCCATTGGATTACTATAGTGATGAATAAAATGATTATGATGATGATGATATATGAATGAATTGTGTGTGTGTGATATTCCAATGTTGAATGGTATCCATAATGAATATTCTGTAAAAAAAATAAAATGAAGCGCCAAAGATGATTTTTGTTTTGTTTTTTTTTCAAAAAAAATTACTCCTTAAATAAAACTTATATATATATATTCATTTTCCATACGATCATCAATTCTTGTGGTCTTTCCATTTATTCTTTTTTTTTCTTTTTGTCTTCGATCCTTGACTTTTTTTTCTCTCATATTTTTGTGTAAACATCACTACTCTCTCTCTCTACTTTTTTTTGCTCATCATCATCATCATCATTATCCCCAATGACGCTTTTTATTTGCTCTAATAATTTATATTAATATTTACCAGACACAGACACAGACAAAACACAAATAACAATCCAGACATTTATATAATAATAAAAATTTGTATTTGTATTCTTTTTCCATGAATATGATTGTTTTTTTCTTTTATTATCATCATCATCATCATCATCATTAATATTGATGATCATGATTTATGAATAATAATATTATGATGATGATGATGATGATAAAAAAAACACGCACGCGTGCTCGTTTTGCTTCATTTTTATCAATCATCAACTATTAAGAATTAAGAATCTTTAGAATCTATTGAAAATTCTGCAAAAATGGAGATAAGTGGTGGTGGTGGTGGTGGTGGTGGAAAAAAACAAAAACAAAAAATTTTGGCAGGTGAAACTTTTTTATTTTTGTTGTTGAACATGAAATTTCCATCTAATGCATCCCTTATTTCATTTGAATGAAAATGAAGAAGAAGAAGAAGAAGAAAAGGGTTGTGTTTTAAAATTCGGTTCGGGTTCATTAATGTTCGATTTTTTTTGTTTTGTTTTTTTTTTTTTTTTTCACTTTTTATTTACTTTTCAATTGGAATTTTTCGTACAAATTCTTGTAGAATTTATTTATTTATTTTTTTTTTTACTATTTTTAGATATTAGATACAAAAAATACACTATATACACACATATGTACGGTATTTTGCACGCGTTTTCGGTTTTTGTTTCATTCATTTCCCACCAGTACCACCACCACCACCACCATCATTTCATTTCATTTTTGATAATGATAAAAATGATGTGGCAATTTTTTTTGTTTTGTTTTTATTTTTGTTTTCCATTTGGTGGTAAAGATAATCTGAGGGGGGAGGAGATAATTTTAAGTGAAAATGATGATGATGATGATGATGATGAAAAGACAACCTTGGAATATACAAATACCGTTATCATCATCGTCGTTGTTGTTGGCGTTGTCTGGTTTTATTATTATACCAAATCATCATCATCATTATGATTATTATTATAACTGGAAAAAAAACTAAACGAAACCAAACACAACGGGCACGATGATGATGATTTGAATTTTTTTTCCTACTAGACAACAACTTCTCAGTGGAGAGAGAGAGGGAAGGAAATGTGGAAAAAATGATAAATAAATTTCACTTTTGCTTGTTTGTTTTTTTTTCATTTTTGTTTTTGCTCATCATCATCATTATACAATCATCATCATATATATGATGTATGTATATGTATGTAGACATTATTCTGGTGAATGGTAAAATAATTCAAATCAGAATCGTTTGTTTTTAATGTTAATACTAACTGTCTGAATAAATAAATAAAAACCGGCTTATGGTGCTTTATTATGGTGTCTCGTTTTAATATCATTCTGATTCTGATTCTGATCATCGTCATCATTGGATTTGAATTGGTAATGAATAATTGTCCCAAAACGAAAAAAAAGAGACATAAATATATAGCACAAACAGAATTCGACCGAAAAAAAAATTAACAACGAGATTTGTCTCACACACACACACACACACACACGCAAGTTGATGGATATAGAAATTCTTGGGAGGAGAAAAAATAAAATTTTTTTTTTTTTTCGAAATAAATGGAAAACTGATAGAATGTGGAAAAAAATGACATAAAACCACATTCTCTCAATTCTTCTTGTGTGTGTGTGTGTGTGTGTGTGTGATTTTCCAATTAAAATTGTTTTCAAATAAATGTGATTTTTTTCTCTCTGTCTCTGTCTCTCTCTCAATTATTTGTGATTGATTAATTAATTGATATTTTCTGTGTGTGTGTGTGTGTGTTATTAAATCCACACACAGAAAAATAGTAAGTGATTACATCATCATCATCATCATCGATAGCACCACCGAAAATCAACCAACAAAATAAAAATGAAAAAAAAAAAATACCCATTGCTGATGATGCTGACAATATGATATGATGGTGGTGGAAAAACAAGAAAAAAAAAAAAAAAATTTTTTTCCATTTACCAAGAAAAATGACAAAAAAAAAGATACAATTTTTTTTTTTCAGATTTTCAAAATGAAAAAAAAACAACACAAAATGATTTGTTACATTGTGTTCATTATTCAATGAATATATATATATATAAGAAGAGGTGCTTCCATCGTATTGATTTTTTTTGTGATAAATGATCATCATCATGATGATTATTATCGTTCGATAATCATCATCATCATCATCATGATAACGATGATAATAATGAATTCGTGAAATGAAAATTATGATAATGATGTTATTTTGTTTCACTCGATTCTTTTTCTTTTTTTTGTTGTTGTTGTTTGAAACTTAAGAAAAAAAAAAACAACAAAAAAAAATTTTTTTGATCATCATTAAATCACATGACCACAATGATGATGATGATGATGATGAAAGATTGTTTCAGTGCAACTAATAATGCGGATAAAGACCAATAAGAAGAAGAAGAAGAGAAAAATCATTTCGGAAGCCAAAAAAAAACAACAACAAAAAAAAACTGCCACAGGAATTTTTTTCTCATTCATTCATCAACAGGTGTATTGGCGCGACCAAAAACAACGACAACAACAACAACAACAACAATTTCATTGGATTCGAATGACAGAAAAAAAAATAACAAAAACAAAAGAAAACAAAAAGAAGAAAAACTCATTTCAATTTTTTTCCAATTAAAACGAAAAATTTTTTTTTTCGCTTCAAGGATTCATCATTCATTCATTTTGTCTCTGTGCGTGTGTGTGTGTGTGTTTTTTTTGTTGTTGTTTAAAACGGAATGGCCTATAATTTAGTTTTTTACAGTTTTCATTGATTATTATAAACCTTTGATGACAAAAATATTGATTTTGAATTTTTGATTTTATGAAAAAAAAACAAAAAAAAAAACAGTGACCATGGAATGTCACACAACAAAAAAAAAACAAAAAGCAATAAGTTTTTTCCAATCAATGCAGTGAATAAGCAATAAGTTTTTGTTGTTGTTTTTTTTTCTTATTTTGCTATTTTTGTTATGCGCGGTTTTTTTTCCCAAAAACACTTGCATTTGTGGATTTTTTTTTTTTTAGTTAAAGAAAAATTAATTTATTTTAATGGAAAAAGTGCATGTTTTATTGAAATTAATAAAAACGAACAATGAAAGAAAAAAAAGGTAAAATTTAAAATCATCAATTCAATTTTATGTGTGTGTGTGTGTGTGTTTAAATTTTGTAGATAAATGCCATAAAGAACCTGTTGAACATGTGTACGATAATCCCATGTAATTAAATATTGTTGATTGTTCAATATGGATATTAATTGATTTTTATAATTACCAGTAGTAGTAGTAGTAGCCATATATTTATCAAAATATTTTTGATATTCAAATGAACATAAAATATTTATTGTTGTTTTTATGAGATCTGTATTTAATGATTGAAGATTTTTCATTAAAAATGGCATTATGAATGGCATTATTTGTTGAAAAATTGATTCTGAATCATCATCATCATCATCATCGATATCGATATTATCATCATTGAACAATAAATTCAATATTTGTTTCAATTCCACTAATGTCAACATTAATATTGAACTATGTGTAGACAATGATGATGAATTTCTTAGTTGAAATAATTGACGCATAAAATCAATAATTTCTTCAGGATATTTTTTCATAAATTTTATTGTACATGAAAATAATGGCCGATAATAATAATAAAGATATGGTAAACGATGTAACGTAAATAATAATGTTTTAATTGTTGTCATTTGAAATTGTTGTTGTTGTTGTTGCTGTTTGACTGTTGATCGTTTTCGATCCATCATTAATTTATAAATATGTAATAAATTCTCTAAATGAATCTGTACTTCATTCGAATAGATTGATGAAACAATTTCTTTCAATTCTTCATTAACAATACGATCAATTATATCACGTCTTTCGGGTATATATTGATAGATTGTTGAAATAATTTTCGATACATAATTTCGTTCATCACCATCATCACTATGAATTAAATCGAGTAATTGTGAAACAAAATGATCGTCAATGATAATAGCGATATATTTATGATCATTTTTGAAAAAATTGATAGCAAGATCCAATATTTTGTAAACAATATCCAAATGTGGATTCAAATCATTGGTTGATGTACATTTTTCGAAATTATTACCATAATTTATGTATTCTTTTTTCAATTTTGATGGCCCCAATGGACGGAATATATTTACCGTTATTACATCAAGTATATCGGGAAAAATTTGTTTGTAGTTTGTTAGCATAATATTATTTTCATCATCCATATCTTCAATGATGAATAGATCATAAATGGATTGAAGTTTTTCATATTTTTTCGTCTTCTCCATTAGATTATCATTGTTGGTGAAATCGAAAATTTCCATACAGACATTTTTAAAATCGACATCCATGGCAATCAATTGATGATGATGATGATAACGACAAAATTTAATGTTGCAAAACAATCAATAACAACAGCAATAACCGTTAAAAATTTTTGAAAATTAAAACAAAAAACATGAGAAAAAAATAAAAACATCGAACCATCAATATAGTACGTACATGCGTTTTGATTGCCATCTTTCGGTGGAGAATCAAACTGAATTCTTGAAAAAAAAAAATTTATTTTTTATGCCAATTCCACCAATCCATTTTTTTTTCGTTCACAGATTTTAATTAAAAAATCAATCTGCCTAATAATAAACAAACCATAATCAATCATCCACGATTAATGTGTATAATGAAGGCATGAAAAACATGAAAATAAATTAACCACTGATGCCTGCTGGTTGATTATTGGAGGAAATAAAACAAAACAAAACAAAACAAAAATTCTTTGCCCACAACAAGTTACAACCAACAGAATATTATTATTATTCTAATCAAATTACGATAATGAATAATAATAATCCATTGTGTTGTGTTAATGATCAAAACGGATGAAAAATTATTCGTTTAACTGAATATATTAACTAAGCTCCTACTACTAAAGTCAATTTCCTTGTTTTTTTTTGTTTTGTTTTCGTCCCAAAAAGAAAAAAAATTTTCCATTAAAAAAAATCAAGCTGAGCTGAAATCAAAAACATAAAACAGGAAAAAAAATCACAGCAAAGAATCGATTCCGATCTGTTTTTCGGAATAAATTCCGGAAAAAAAGCTAAGGTGAAAATGGAATTTGGCGAAAAAGTTCCAAATGATGACAATTTGGATGATGTGATCATCACATACCAGAACCAAAAAAAAAAGAAGAAAAGAATTTTTTTGCGTGTCCAAAAAAAACAAAAAAACAAATAAAACATATGAATGAAAGAAAAAAAATTCTCACCATTATTCATTTTCAGTCGTTTTTAAAAGCATCGTGTTGAAAAATGTCTATGAAAAAAACTAAACAAGAATTCATTCAGTCAATCAGCCAAGTCTGTATAATGGTGTACTGGTGTTGAAACACATAAGCCATGAAAAGAGCATTAAAGAGTAAGAAAAAATAAAAGAATCCCGGATCCAGAAATAAAAAGAAATGAATCATAAGAAATAAAAATAATAATGAAATGGTTCTATAGTTCCAAATTTTTTTCTTTCTTTTTCTTTGGCGTTGGCGTTGGCGTTGGTGTTGGTGTGGACCAAAAAAAAAAAAAATCAAGACAATCCACACATGACAATATTATACATAGGCCCTATGAATGAATCCATATAAGTGTGTGTGTGTTGATCCATCAAGAATTTGTTTGCAAAACAATAAATGTGTGTATGTGTTGTTTGGTATTTGGAGCAAAAGATGTAGTATGAGTATTTTATAGGGTGTTTTTGCATTCTCGTTTCATTCATACAAACAACAGCAACAATGATCCAAGATAAAAAAAAAAAATGGACCAGAAATGATTGCATCGTATGAGATGCATCTTTTGTCTATGAAAAGATTCTATAGAATAGACAAAAGAAAAAAAACGGATAGAATTCCACATTTTTTTGGTGATCGATAAGATTCATTCAATTCTATTGGCTTTTCATTTTTCTTTTTTGTTCCGTTGTCGAGTTTCAATTTTTTTTTCCAATCGACCACCCACCCACCCATCCAACCAACCCCCTCAACATTGTGAACATTTTTCATTCATGTAAACAAAAACGGGTAAAAAGAAGGAAATAAAAAAATATTGACTACTGAAAACAGAATAAATCGATATTTGATTTTTTTTTTTTTTTTTTTGGTTCTTTCCACCAGCCGCTGTTCAATTATTGTCCCCTTTTTTCAATCTATTGAAATTTTAATAACAGAAAACAAAAATTGTTTGATCATTTCCATAAATTTAGATCATACCGATAGATAGATAAACACACACACACACACACACATGAATAATGATCAATTGATGATCGAATTTTTTTCAAATAAAATTCTTGACAATTTTTGTGAAAAAGCAAAAAAAAAAAATTCATGACCAACCGATAGAGGGCATTGGCATTTTTTTTTTCATTTTCTTTCGGACGGGAATATATCAGGTCTAAACACTGAACATATGTGTGTGTGTGTGTGTCCATTTTTTTTATTCATAAAAAAAAGAATCGGTAAAAATGTGTTGTCGTATATATGTATGTGGAGCTCACGTCGATATATTGGTCTGTTTGCATTGAATTTTTTTTTGTTTGTTTGTCTGCCTCTGTCTCTGTCTGTATTACGTTGAATGAATGAATGAATGATCACTGACATGTCTATCTATATCTATTTATGAGTAATTTTTTTTTGTTTGGCCGTTAACCTTAAAATCAAACAAAACAACAAGGTTGAACGCTGAACAGAGAGAGAGAGCACAGCAGAGACTAAAAAAAAAAAAAATCACCTTAGTCATTGTGTTCATTATCATCATTCTTGTGTGATCATCACAATCTATCGATTGTTTTGTTTTGTTTCGAAACAACCACATTTCATCATTCATGTTGCCGTTGTTTTTTGTTCTTTGTAAATTTTGATCCATAATAATTGATTGATTGATCATCATCATCACGAGACGAAAAATCTGATCTGTAAATCAATCGAAAAAACAACAACAACAACAACAACAAACCGCAAAATTTTTCATTACGATTCTGGTAATTTGACAAATTTTTCTTCACTTTTTTTTGTGCTGCCAAACGAAAATAAAAACATTAATAATCATAACCAGGTGACTGGAGTATAATTGATTGATCGATTTATAATTTTTTTGCATTTTATTTTTGTAGATTTAATTTTTATAGCAGTGAAAAATTCATTTTCACTCTGTTTTTGGTTAAAATTATCAAATTTATCAATACATTGATTGATTGATTAGAAAACAGCGGCAACAATTAATCAATCGATCAATCATGAGCCGATTTACCGTTAGTCGTACTATGCCGGAAGATAGTGTGGCGATTGTAAATGAAATTGAAAATGATGATGATGATGATATCAACAATGACATTGTCGGTGTTAATGATGGTGATGATGATATTATTGATCAAGATTTTATAATTACAACCAATGGTGGTGATAGTAATAGTTCATTGTCCGGCAAAATAAAAAACAATCATAATCAACAACAATCACCATCATCATCGTCATCATCAATGATGATGATGATGATGATGAATAATAAAAATCAACAACAACAACAACAACAACAACGACAAAATATCAGTAATACATCAAACATAATTGTTATTGAACAACAAAATAATCATGAATCAACAGAATTATTACCAAATGTCGATATTATTGATAAATCATCCGCTACAGTAGCAGCATCATCATCATCATCATCATCACCGTTTTCATCATCAACAAAAATGAAACGTCAAACAAAAATGTTTAAAAAATATGGTTCAACCACTAATAATGGTATGTATATGTCATTTGCATGTTGTTTAATTATTTATGAGTTATCATTTTCTGTTGCTGCTGCTGATGCTGCTTGCATCAATTCGTTTCCATTCAATTCGATTCGATGAATGAATGAATGAATCGAAAACTTGAATTCTTGACAAATTCTTATTACCATTTCTATATAATTTTAGGTCAAAGATTTTCATTTTCATTTTCATTCTACATTGAAAGTGAGATAGAAAGATGTTAAACACAAATATATAACTGAACATGAAAATCTTTTCGTCGTCATCGTCGTCGTCGTTGTTGTTGTTGTTGTTTTTGTGCACATGTGTGCATCGAATGTTTTTGGACGGATGGATGGATGAATGGATCCAATTCATTAATCGAATTTCCAATAAAAAAAATCGAGTTTCTGGAATTTTTCATTCATTCAAAACATTTTTTATTGTTTATTTTCAGTCTTTATGTCTTAACATGGACATAGAATATATTTATACAATAATAAAATCGAAATGGCTCTTCATTCTTTATTCTTTTCTTTTATTGATATTCAATTCAATTCAATTCAATCATCATAATGGATAGATATGGAACAATTCTAATCAATGATGAGAATGTTCATTTTGTTAATCGAAAAAAAAGTAAATGAACAACAAAACGTTTGTAAATGATTAAAGTTTACAAGTTTACAATCATTCTATATGGTATCCATGTGTACATGCGGGTATAAAAAATGGTTGATTACTTTTTTTTTTGGCTAGTGGTGGTGTTGGTGGTGGTGGTGGTCAGTCAAATTATTCGGTCCTTCATCATCATTGATTGACTTTAATTAGTGGAAAATTTTGTTTTTTTCATTCTGGTTAAAATGAGCTTTTTTTTAGCAAAAAGTATGTGTTCCAAATTTGGAATTTCCAATTCTTTTGTTAATTGGAACATATACTCAAACGAACACACACACAGACACACACGCACACACTTCTGGATGGTCATCGTCATCATCATCAAATTGATAGACTGGAAAAAAAAAAAGAAAAGGCTGTACACATGATCTCTTCTCACACATAATCAAAACTAAATTTTCGATTCTAGCATACAATGTGTGTATGTGTATGTATCAACAACATCTTAATCTCTCTGTATCATTATTTTTTTTTTTGTTCTCACTTGATTCCGGATTCTTGAATGTGGATTTTTTTTTTTTTGTTTTTCTTTCGTTTTTGGTGAAATAATTTGGCTTCACATTTGGTCATTCTAGCGCTAATTTTTTTCCCATAATTATTTTTGGAGTTTTTTTACAAATCGAAAAAAAATCCTGTTCGAGTGATTGAATTGGTAGAATGGAAAAAAATGGGTTGTGGTTCATTTTTTTTTTGTAGTGAAAAACATCAATTCACCAATTGAAACCGAAGAAAAAGAAAAAATTTTTCGATGCTAAATCAATGCGTTGGTCAAGTTAGGGCATGATACAAAAAAAAAAATAACGATGTGCTGGCATTGTTGTTGAAATTGTTCATTCATCTCATATCGTTCTGCATCATGTTCAATAGTAGTCGTATATACGGGTATATTACCCGTCCAATTTGGATTGCCAATTCCATGATGATGATGATGACAACGAACTATATAACCTGTTTTCGTTGTTTTTTCTCTCACTGTTATTGACAAGTAAAGAATTCTGTCTATTTTAGCTCGTTCTTTCTTTTCGGTGAACATCTAGTAGATTCTTTTTAAAAAAAAAAAAAATTCTTTGCTTTTTTTTTACTATTTCATTGACTTCTCACATTGATTTGATTCTACTACTGATTGTATGGTAGTGGTATGTTTTTTGATGATGATTTTGTATATATGATGTTGTGTATAAAGGCTAGTCATCAGAATAAAAACGAAGCATGAGCCAACGGATATAATCCCTAAATAATTCTTTATCAATTCAAATAGAGAAAGAATAGAAATGTCTGTATCATCCATTCTTCTTCTTCTTCTTCTTCCTTTGTTGTAGACACACACACACAGAATGATTTCACTATAAACCAGAAAATATTCTCTATTTTTTTTTCTAAGTAAAAAATGTGTCCAATATATTCTTAGTTGAATATTCTGAACAAAACAAAAGCAACTATCTCACAATAAACCACCACCACCACCACCACAACAACAACAACCGAGCTAGTCAGTATTCACATATTTCAAGTGTATATTGGTTTTCTACTTTTTGTTATCATCATCATCATCATCGGTCGGTTGGTTGGTTGGTTCGTCGGTTATTCTGTCGTTCATTCGTTCCATAATAATTATCGTGATCGTTTCAGATTCAAAAACTAATACTATACGATCAGTTTCAATTTTTTTTCTTCATTTCATTTCATTTTCTGGTTATATGAATATGTGTATCTGTGTGTGTAATGATATTCGGATATAACCGACAATCATTCGTTTTGTTTCGTTTGTTTTTTTTTTTTTGGTAAAAGATTCAGATTCATTTTTATCTTTCTCGATATTTCGAATAGCGCCTGTGTGTATTTGTGTCTTTGGTTCGTTTTATTCTATTCATATCACCAGTATTGTCCTCATGTGTGTGTGTGTGTGTGTGTGTTTGTGTTTTGTGTTAGTTTTCCCATAATGTTTATCTATTTATTTATTTCGAAAATTCAGAATCATCAGATTTTTTTTCCCATTCTTTTTATTTCCCACTGAGATATATTACCACCTCCCATCACCATCATCCAAAAGTTGTATAAAGAAAAAAAGAGAAAAAAAAACGATGCGGCAACAACAATCATCAATCGTCAAACATCGACATTATTTTACTTCATTTATTCAAATAAAAATAATAATCTGAAAATGAAATCTTTTTTTCTTTCTTTCTTTTTGGTTCGCTGATTCTTTTTTTTTCTTTCTTTCTTTCATGTTGAAGATATTTAGGGGTAGCCAAAATGGTGAAAGAATCGTTATCATTCATTACACAGTAGTAGTGTTATATTCTGTTCTATTATTCTCTATTTCTAGCGTTAGCATAATTCTTTGTTATATTCTTTATTGCTTGGTTTAGTAGTTGTTGTTATGTTTTTTTTTTATTTTATTTTATTTTTTCCTTTATTTTATTCCGTTGTCTACTATCTAGGGTTCTTCATCAGTAAGATCTAGTTGGAAAAACTTTTTTTTTTTCTTGTGTGCTGTACCTAAGTTTATATTTTTTTTTTTTTCAATCACACGATCTCAACTTTATCGATCCAATCATAATCAATGATTGATACTGCTTTCTATTCGAGATTTTTTTTTTTTTTTTGGTTCCTTCTTTCCATCGATTAAACAACCATAATAAAAAATAATAATCATCATTGTCATCATAATTATATGATGAGTGAAATAGTTTGATGAACTTGACGTTGTCAAGTATTGTTGTTGCTGTTGTTATTATGTTTTTTTTATGTTAAATATTCTGCTACTACTACTGCTACCACTTTTGTGATCTTGAATATTCTTGAATGATTTCTTAGTTCTAAGTACGTATGTGTGTGTGTCGGTGTATTTCTAGAACATTGAGATCAAAAAGATATGATGATGATGATGATGACATTGAGATGATGATTGAAGACGATTGAATTTCTTTAATTTTTTTCCCTTCTCTTTTTTTGTATTTACATTGAAAAAAAATTCTGTAAAATTGCATCCAAATCTTGAAGGTAACAGTAGTGGTGGTGGTGGTGGTGATGATGGTTCTAATTTTGTCTTCCCCCCCCATTTGGTGGATGATGATGATGATTAGGACATGTTAAAGCAACCAAAACCAAATGAGAAAAAAAAACTTTTATTTATTCACCAAATTTTTTTTCTTCTTCTTCTTCAAGCCCTAGAGGCTGTGTGTGTGTGTGTGTGTGTGTGTGTAGAATGATGATGATGATCATCATCAACATTGCATGATAATGTTCATTTGCATTTCATCGTCGTTTCCCATGCACTCACACACACATATTCATTTTTTATTTTGTCTATTTATGCACAACAAACAAACACACACACACACAGATGAAAGAAAAACTTGCCACAATAAATAACGACAGCTAACAACAGTGACAACAACAACAACAACAATAGCAAAATGTGAATATTCTTCTTCATCGTTTTTTTTCTGGTGGTAGAATTGAAAAAAATGCCATCAAAATAAAATTGTTTTTCTAGTCTGAATAATATGATTCTTTTTTTTCTATTCAAATCACCATCATCAATTTTAAGATTCTTGTGAAATTCTTTTTTTTTTTGCTTAAATCGTTTAAATCATCATTTTTTTTTTTGATTCTGTTCTTCATCTGTATCAAATTCATCATCATAATAATCGTTTTGACGATAATTGAGACATTACATGAATGTTGAATTTTTTTTCTCCTTTTTTTACAATTCATTTATATTTTGATTTCGATATAAAAACGACGACGACGACGACAAAAAAAAAAATATTTATTGATCAGCATGAATGAAATGAGATGAAAAAAACAGAATCGTCGTCATCATCATCACGAAGAATTTCAACCGTTTTTTAACAACACAACAACAACAACAACAAACTGTCATTTGAAATACAGAATTTTAAAATTTTCTCCCATTCCGTTATTGTTGTTTTCGTGTTCCAGAAAAAAAAAATTCTGTTGTTTTTCATTCTTGAAAAGTTTTTTTTTCGTTTCAAGAAATTTTCCATGCATATTTTTTTCAAAATTTTCACTTGGAATTGGGATTGAAACACAAAAAAAAAATATCGGTCTTGATTGTCGTCGTAGTTGGTTTGTGTGTGTGTGTGTGTGCGTTGCCATCATTATTCAAACTTTTACACAAGATGATGATGATGAAGAAATTCAGTCATCAACCTTCTATGTGGAATTTATTATGTAATCAACTGTAGAATTTAACAACAACGACAACACAAATGACAGTGACAGTTTTAATTTTTGTGAAATATCACAACAACTACACGGCTACGATGATGATTCAATCTCAATCTCTATCTTGATAATCAAATATAATCAGAATCAAAAATCTAGTCATTTGAAATTGAAATGATGATAATTTATTCAGATTCTTTATTGGATACGATTTTTTTTCACCAAATTCTTCAATTCTTTGATTCATGATGCTCAATATTTTTGTTTTTTGTTTTGTTTTTCATTTATGAGGTCAACAACAACAACAACAACAATCAACAATCAACGAACCAAACATAATCTTGAATTGAAAGTTTTTTTTTATCTTATATTAGACAAAACGAATTTGTTAAAAAAAAAGAAAATCAAAAGAAGATCTCACTATACATTTATGCTTGATTAGCCATCAAATGTTTGTTGTCGATTAATATTCAAATGCTGTGTTGGTATTCTTGAATGATTTGATTTGACGAAGAAAAAAAAAGGAAACAAGCAACCAAGCAAGCAACAGAATAAAAAAACTGTTCAATAGAATCCAATTTGTTTTTCTAATTTGCGTTGAATATATCCACATTACAGTTTAGTGATTTTTTTTATGAATCCAATTACACTATCTATCTATCTATCTACATGTGCAATTTTATTCACTATTCTCGAGAATCTTTTTAATTTTTATTCTATAAAAATTGCAATCAAATATTAGCATTCTGATTCTGAGTGTTTCCAGTTCAATCGTCTCTGTGAGTGAGTGAGTGTTAGTGAGTTAGTTAGTGAGATTGAAAGTGAAAAGACAAAAATGGATCAACGAATTCATAATAATGAATCAAAAGTTTCGGCTGAAACATCACCATTATCCAGTAATAATAGTAATAGCCGTAGTATGCCTAAATTTGAAGTAAGCGCCGTTGATGAAGATGAAATGAAAAAACAATCTAATGAATCAACACCGAATCATCGTAATGATAATAATCATCAAAATTCTGGTAACGGCAGTAGTAATATGGATGAACAACAACGTGGACAAATTATTGCAATAAAAAGTATTGATGATGCTAATGTCGATTCATCGGCTGTTTCGCCGTTTATTGTATCACTGCCATCTGATGAAGGTCCGAATTTCAATTGATTTTATTTTTGTTTTTTTTTCTACTATTTGTTTTTGAAATTTTATGACTTTGTGTTTTTGTGGTGTAATGCATTCATTATGTTATTATTACAATTTATGGCTTAACATTCATTGATAATAATCGTATTATTTAATTGAAAAAATTTTTTTTTTTTTTTTTCTTCTTCCATTTAGATGATAATGAACAAAGTCTTTATGATCGTAATCAAATGTTTTTGTTCAGTGAAGATGAAGATAAACGTGTTTCATCATTATTATCACGATTGGCAAATTATGATGATGCCATACAGCCAGTGGAAATGGAACCCGGTGCACCTGGTGCCGATACAACATCATCAACTGGTGCAAAAATCAAACCAAAAGCTAAAGCTAATCTTGGCGTACTTACCGGTGTTTATCTACCGTGTTTACAAAATATATTCGGTGTTTTAATATTCATCCGTATGGCATGGATGACTGGAACGGCCGGCGTACCAGCTTATTTTGCCATTGTATTTCTTTGTTGTTCGGTGACCTTATGTACTGTAAGTATATCATTGACAAATATATAATGCAGTAATGTATGATTCAGTTGTAATTTTATTGATGATAGAAAAAGAGAGAGAACTGGAACAACAACAATGTTTTAGCCTTTTAGAAAAAAAAGCTTAATAGCTGTCTGTTCATATATATATATGGTTTATATTCTTTTTTTTCCCGTTATTCTCTGATGTTGACGCTGTTGTTGTTGTTGTTGTTGTTTTTCTCGATTCTTTATTCTTCTGTCGTTTACATTTATTTTTATTTTTTTCCACCATTCAATAATGGGTAATAATAATAATAATAATAACCAGAAACTCAGTGAACTAGAGAGAGAGAGAGAGAGAGAGGAAAAAATTGCTAAAAAAAAAAAAAAAGAAAAATTTTCTATAGAAGAACCAGAATAGTGAGTGTGTGAGAATATAAAAATTCTGGATTCCCATAGTTTCTCTCTCTCTCTCTCTCTATATATATATATTTCATATGGATCTTGCGTATGACCAAAATCTTTGGCCTTTTTCTATTTCGGTTTTTGTGTGTGTGTGTGTGTGTGTTTTAAAGTTGTATCGAACATGGAGGCATAAATAGGGGCAACAACCAGCAACCAAAAAAAAAAAGAATCAAGATGAGCCGAAACGCAAAAAGGGAAAAAGTGAATGAGTGAAATGAAATGGTTAAAAGTAGAAAAAAAAGTTATTTGCGTGTGTGTGTGTGTGTGTGTGTCTGTATGAGAATGTAGCTCGAAACTTGAAGTGCAAAAAAATTGATCAGAAAAGAAATATAGTCCATGATGATGATGACGATGAGAAATACATTTTCACAAAATATGAAAAAAAAACAAGAAAAAGAAGATGAAAAAAACTTTTTGAAGCAATTTCATAATTTTTACACACACACACACACTCAAACACACAAATTAGATTACATTTTATAAACGTAGACACACACACACAAGAAAAATAAAACAGATGTCTGTAATGAATTTTGTCGTTTGTTGTTTTGGTGAAAAAAAAAGAAAAAGAAAAATTTATTGTGTCATTGAGGATCTGGAATTGTTTTTCTCCTTTATTTCCAAGTTTGTTTTTTATTTTTGGTGAGAGATAAAATAGTCAATTGCTCGCTTGTTTTTCATCATTGTTTCTCATAAGAGAATTTTTTTTTTTTTTTTTTGATCATTTATTCATAAGCCAAGAGATTTTGCATATTTAAAAGAATTTTATTCTTTACACAGAAGCGGAATAATAATAAATCCTTGACGAAGAAAAAAAAAACACAACTTAATTCCTGTGTGTTGTTTTTTTTCCATTCATTCTCAATTTAAATCTCACAACAACAACAACAACAAACAAACAACAAAAAACTACTACTGAATTTCTGTCGCTTGTTCGTTGTTAATGATGATGATGATGGTGATATTTTCAGTGCAAAAAAAAATCCCCATTTCCATTTTGATTTTGTCATTCATTTTTTTTGTTTGTTTCTGGAACGGATATTTATTTGTCTATTTTTTTCGGGTATTGCAATGATATGTTCGACCTAGTTTGTTTTTTTTTGCCGGCCATATTTATTTATACACGGATATATACGGATAATGTTTAGATTTATTTATTCTGTATTTGTCGTATATTCTATGATTGTTGTCTGTGATTGTCATATTAAATACTTCAATCATTCATCGTCATCATAATCATCAATTCCACAGTATATTCCGGTCATATTTATTTTTTTTTGTTGTTGCTATTTATATAATAATCGTTGTGGTTGTTGTTGACATTCAACTTGACCGAAATATATATTTTTTGTTGTTGTTGTTGTTGATCCAATCATCATCATTATAATAAAAATGTTGACATTTTTATACCATGATTATAATTGTTCGTTATTACCGCTACCCATTTGTGTGTGTGTGTGTGTGTGTGTGTTTAGAACTAATTTGTTTTGTAATATACAAATTTGTATTTCTTGTTTGTTTGATGAAATTCTTTGGTTTCCGTATTCATTATAATGAGCATGAGAGAAATAGAAAGAATTCATCTAGAATCTCTAATTTCAGGTTCTTTTCTCTATTTATTTCTGTTGTTTACAGAGATTTTTCTTTTTCTTCAACCAGAATAATTAATTGACAATATATATATATAGGTGATTATACTATTAACCGTTCAGAATTAGAAAGCGTGGGAGAGAGAGAGAGAGAGAGTCAAATTAATGTCCAAATATCGTCATCATCATCATCATCATCATTATTATTATTCTCATCCAGTAATCCAAGATGATGACCACTATTCATAATGATTATGATTATGAATAGTGGTGACAGTCAGTTTTTAATGCTAATAATAACCAAATCATCATCATTAAATCTAATTCGTGAGTGAGAAAAATTCTTGACACACACACACACTTGAAAATTTTCAGGATGTTTTGATTTATTTTTCACTCAAAGAAAAAAAAAGTATCCTTTCAACGGTCCAAAAAAAAATGAGAATTTTGTCAAGATGAAAAAAAAATAACAAAGTTATGAATTCTCATATAGTTAGAAGATTGGGAATTGAATCGAGTTTAGTTTATTATCAACTTTCAAATGAAAACAAAAAACATGCATGTTGTTTATGAATTATTTTTCTTCCATCTATGAAAAAATACTGATGATGATGATGATGATGATTTACATGCGTTGCATTTTTTTTTTTTTTTTGTTGAAAATATTTTTGTTTCACAGAGAAAGAAAAAAGTTTTTTTTTCCACTGTGATTTACACTATATATAGCACTACGCATTTTGCATAATGTGTATGTATATATACATTGAATGATTTATTTGGTCATTTACATTTGTTTGTTATCATGAAAATTTTTTTTTTTCTTCTTTCAAAGTTTCAAATTTATTGATTGTTTTTGTATGTGTTGTGTAACGATCAACACAGGTTGCTTTCATCTTTCAGTCCTGTTTTGTGTTTGTGTTATTCTATCGGAAATATTTGTCAATTATAAATTGTCGTATGTTTGTTTGTTTGTTTGGTTTGAATTTTTGTTTATGTTTCTGTTGATATTTTATATTTCATTTTTCATGTGTGTGTGTGTGTGTGTGTGTGTCATATATAGAATTGAAAAACAGTAAAGTGTAAAATGAAACATGAAAATTCTTTTGCTGCTTTGTTTTGTTTTCAGAATCAAAAAACATTATTCTTTTCTTCCTTTTGGACTGTTTTTTTTTTTAGTTTGTTTTTTGTTTCTCAATGTTCAATGATTCTTGTGTGCGTGTGTGTTGTGCTGCTGTCAACTGAACAACGACAACAACAACAACAACACTGAACATGTACATATGTTTCGTCCATTAATTCTGGGATATTCTTGTTATTCTTTTTTTTTCGTATACGAAAGTTGTTATCGTTGTCGTTGTTGTTATCTTTTTTTTTTTGTTTTTGTTTATGCTTTTTTGGTTCTTGTCTTTTTTTGTGTTTGTGTGTGTATGTGCAACGCAACGAAAAAAAATAATATCGAATTGAATAACATCAAAATAAATCGAATTCATTTGCTTGAATCCATTGTCAATTATTATTATTATTGTTATTGTTGTTGTTTGCTGGTTGGTTGGTTGGTTATTCTTGTTGTTCATTCTGGTTGTTGTTAATGTTGCTGATCTTTGCCAATTTTAAGACAAGCTCCCCCCGCCCACACACCCACAAACATCTAACAAACAACAGGAAAATATAGAGATCCATTTAGAATCTAATCGTTTCCAGGTTTTCTCATTTTAGATTTCCCAAAAATATCGAATGAATTGAAACAAGAAAGAGAGAGAGAGAGAGAGAAAAGATTGTTGTTGTTGTTGTTGTTATTGTTGGCGAATGTTGCTGAATAATGATTTTGATTCGTGTGTGAATAGATGATGATGGTATGACGTAATGAGTGAAGAAAGAAAATCTTTTTTTTCCATTATTCAATATCTGGGTTCGATGATTTAATTTTTTTTTCTCGGAACAAACAAACAAACCAGACTATATAAAAAGAAAAAGAAAAAATAAATCGGAAATTCCACAATTGTTGTAATCGACGAATAGAATTCTGTGGTTGTTGGCCACGAATTGAGAATAGATAAAACTTTTTTTCTCATTTCATTCAATTTATGTCATTCATTATCAAATATATATATATCAAACATTCCATTCTCAGTCATAATAATCATTACATCATTTTTTTTCTGTCGTTGTCGTCGTCGTCAATTTCATAAATAATTCATATGGTACATACTATCCATGTATTCAATTTCACCGCCTCATATTCTGTTCAAATTCTTTTATTCATTCTATTTATCACCAACAACGGTCATTTGTCGCTGTTGTTATTATTATTAGTTAAAAAACATTATGATATGAATGTCATGTTTTCATATCTTATCAATTCAATGGAAAAAAATATTTTCAATTTTCGGTACCGTTAGTTTAGTTTAGTTTAGTTTAGTTGTTTGCATTTTCATCAGCAAAAAAAAATCTTGTTCCCTCATTATTGTGTTATTATCATCGCCTAATAATAGCTGTCAAATTATTTCTTGATCTTGATCTTGATTTGTCCTCATTCTTTTGACAGTCGAAATGTGTATTGGATCCATTGGATTATAGGTCAATAATTTTTATTTTCAATGAAAAGTCAAAATTTTTTGGTCATTATTATGGATGACGTCTCTGTGTTGTTCATCAATCAATCAATCAATCAATCATTGTCAATTAATATTGAATTGCGAATAAATACCGTGTGTGTGTATGGAACATGATAAAGATGGCTCATTATTATTACATTATTCTTTACACGATTCTAGCTTGCGTGCGTGCGTGTGTGTGTGTGTGTGTGGTGTTATCGTTGTCGTTTTTTTTTCTTGGAAATAAAACCAACAAATACATTATTGAAAAAAAATTCTAGACAAATGAAACATTCACTAGACAGCGTTGATATGTATGATTTTTGTTTTTCATTCATCTTCTCATCGTTATTGTCATTTCAATTAGTTTCAAATTCAATGTGGGAACGGGGGGGGAGTGGAGAAAGTGGAATTTTTCTGTCTTCTGGTTCACATCCATTAGTAGTGAGCACTATGATTCTTTTTTTTTTTTTTTTTCTGCTTGTTTGACTGACATTTAACATGTCGGTTTTAGTTAAATTTTTCGTTTATTCGTCCTGTGTCAAACTGAGAGAGAGAGAGAGAAAAAATATTCTTTGATATTCACATTCATTGGATGTGGATTAATGAATCTATCACACACACACACACAAAAACAAGCATAGAAAATGAATGTGTAAAGCTCATTTTTTTTTTTTGTTTCTAATTCATAATTCATGTACATAATAATTTATTTAATTTATCCATGTTTTGGTGATGCCTAGGTGGTGGTTAAAAGCTCTTTTGATTTTGATCCATCTAGTTCCATCATCATCCTCATTATACATTTACATTCATTATGAATACTAATTTCATTTCATTTTTTTTTTTTTTTTTTTTTTCACCCGCCAACAACCTCGTTCATCATCATCATCAATTTATTGTTATATATATCAGGCAATATCGTTAAGCGCCGTTGCAACCAATGGAATAGTACCTGCAGGTGGTTCATATTTTATGATATCCCGTAATCTTGGACCAGAATTTGGTGGTGCTGTCGGTGTTTTATTCTTTCTTGGAACATGTGTAGCTGGCGCTGTAAGTATATTTTTAACAAAACAAAAATAAACAGAAGAAACAAACAAAAAAAAATTCAATTTAAATTCACATATAAATTATTCAGGAGAAAAAAAATAACAACAACAGCAACGAAAAAAAAAATTTGCTAGCTGTAAAGTAGTAGTAGTAGTAGTAGTAGAAAGTGAAAATTTTTTAAAAAACAAAATTTCTCCCTTCCTTGTCACAAGAAATAATTATTTTGAAATTAAATTTTTGAACAAAAAAAAAAGTTGCCAGTGAAACGACAAGAAATTTTTTTTTTTATTAAATTTAAATTTTTAAACAAATTTTTTTTTGTTCACTGTTGAAAAAAATTTCCTCTTATCTTTTTTTTTCATTGGCCTGAAAAAGTTTTTTTTTCTCCATGCATTCATTCATTCATTCATTGAACTAATGTAAGAAACCTGATTAATTGGTCTTATCCGTGAAAATAGAAGAAGAAGAAGAAGAACGAAAAAAGACAGTGTATCGTCCAATTTAGATGATATTGCGTGATTCGAATTGAAAATTAATTCATTAATCGATTCATGATCAACAACAACAACAACAGAAACAGAAACAGCAGGAGAAAAGAAAAACACCATTTCTGAATATTCAATTGATTGGAAACTATCTATAATGAGTTGAGAGATGGGAATCAAGAAAAAACAAAAAAAAAGTTTTTTATCTAATAGTTAGTTTCAGACGCAAACACACACACACACACATAAAAATGTTGGCTTCACTGTATTGCATTTTTTTTTGGTTTTGTTTTTGTTCATTCATTCATTCATTCATTCATTTACCTGTGTATGCAGTGTGTGTGTGTCTCTATTTTTTTTCGATTATCGAAACCACAAAAAAAATAATATCGATGATGATGCCAAAAAAAAAAAAATTGTAATTTATTGATCTTTTATCGATTTTGTAAGTGGTTTTTGTGTTTTGTTTTTTCTTTGTGTTTGATATTCTTTCACAAGAAAACAATTGTCCACAGGCTACATAGGCTACTCTAGAACTAGGATTATGAATCACATCAATCAATTTTGTATTATGATTTTGAGTGTTTTTTCTTTCTTAATATTCTGTTATTAATGAGTTTTATTTTTTTTCATTTCATGAAAATTCTGTATATTGTATATAGATGTACATTACTGGTGCCGTAGAAATATTGCTCAATTATATTTCACCAGAGATTGCATTGTTTGGCGATTTTGAAGCCGACAAAAGTATTCTATACCATAATATTCGTGTATATGGAACGATATTCTTGATAATCATTGGCATTCTGGTATTTATTGGCGTACGATTTGTATCGAAATTTGCACCAGTCGCTTTATTCTGTGTACTTGTTTCAATTCTGAGCGTATATCTTGGTATATTTGTCAATTATAATGGTAATCGATTATATATTATTTATTTAATGGAATAAAATTCAAAAATTGATTGATAATCATCATATTTTATTTTTTTTTTTGTTTTTCAACTAAATAACAGGAATTGATAAATATCAAATATGTACGATTGGTGGCCGAATATTATCATCGAAAAATAACATAACTTGTACTGAGGATGGTTTACGTGAAGTGTTTTGCAATCTAAATGGAACCAGCGATAATAAATGTGATGATTTTTTTCTGAAAAATCAACATACTATTAAATTGGAACGTGCAATTCCTGGACTTAGTTCTGGTGTGTTTTGGGATAATTTTATGCCAAAATTTCGTGAAAAAGATGATCTAGTCAGTAATGATAATGGAAAATATCGTGAAAATAAATCATGGATGGCACAATTTAATTATGTTTTCGTTGATATTAGTACATCTTTTGCTATATTGGTATCAATTTATTTTCCATCCTGTACCGGTATTCTGGCTGGCAGTAATCGTAGTGGTGATCTTGCCGATGCACAGAAAGCCATACCATTGGGCACTATTGCCGCACAGCTCACAACTAGTTTTGTTTATTTGTCCGTTATATTTCTATTTGGCGCTTCATACAATCCATTATTTATTCGTGATAAATTCGGAGAATCATTGGGCAAAGAATTGGCTGTAAGTTTTTTTTTTTGGTTGTTTGTTCGTTTATTGCAATATAAATAATATATACTCATTTATATTATGATTATGATTCTCATAGGTGACATTAATTTCATGGCCACATCCAACAATAATTTTAGCCGGTGCACTATTGTCCACTTTTGGTGCCGCATTACAATCATTGGTTGGTGCACCACGATTATTACAAGCAATAGCCAAGGATCAGATTATACCATTTTTGGATCCATTACAATATGTTAATAAACATGGTGAACCAGTCATTGCCATTGCCGTTTCATTGGCTATTGCTGAGGGAGCCATTCGTATGTGTTTTTTGTTTATATTGCAAATTATCAATTTTTTCTAATTTTCAATTTTGTTTTTTTTTTTTCGTTTCATTTCAATCACATAAAGTCATTGGAAATCTTGATTTTATTGCTCCAGTATTGACAATGTTCTTCCTAATGTGTTACATGTTTCTTAATTTAGCATGTACAGTACAATCAATATTACGTACACCATCATGGCGTCCACGTTTTAAATATTATCATTGGTCCATTTCATTAGCTGGAATATTTTTATGTTTATTAGTAATGTTTTTATCATCATGGATCTATACATTATGTGCAATGGCATTGGCTGCATTTATTTATAAATATATTGAATATCGTGGAGCGGAAAAAGAATGGGGCGATGGTATTCGTGGTTTAGCTTTGAGTGCTGCACGTTATTCATTATTAAGACTAGAAGAAGGTTTGTTTAGTTGTTTTGATTTGATTTGATATTATTTTACAATATCAAATTTCACTTTTGATATTTGTGTGTTTTGATTTTTTCATTGATTTATACAGGTCCTCCACATACTAAAAATTGGCGTCCACAATTACTTTGCCTAGTGAAATTGAATCCAGATACATTAGAATTGAAGAATTCAAAAATATTAACCTTTGCATCACAACTAAAAGCAGGCAAAGGTTTGACCATTATAACTAGTGTATTAAATGGAAATTATGAAACTGAATCTGGTATTGCTCAATCGGCTAAACAATCTTTACGGCATTCGATGGACAAAGAAAAAGTAAAAGGATTCGCTGAAGTTATAATCACTAAAGATGTGACACAAGGATTGAGTCATATAATACAGACAGCTGGTCTTGGTGGTTTGAAACATAATACCGTACTAATGGCATGGCCACATAAATGGCGTCATTCAACATCTAGAGATAAACATAATCGATTCTTGTCCGTTGTTCGTCATGCAACATCGGCAAATGCTGCATTGATTGTTGCCAAAGGTTTAAACATGTGGCCTGAGAATAATGATCGTTTAGGTGGAAACATTGACATTTGGTGGATAGTCCATGATGGTGGATTGGTAAATGACAAAAATTTTTTTTTTTTTTTTGCTTCATTGATTTGTTTTCAATAATTTTTATATTTTTTTTTGTCAATTTTACAACAACAACAACAAATTATAATAGCTCATACTATTGGCCTATGTACTTTCACAGCATCGTACTTGGAAATCGTGCAAGTTACGAGTGTTTACCGTAGCACAATTAGAAGATAATTCCGTACAAATGAAAAAAGATTTGGAAAAATTTCTTTACCATTTAAGGATAGAAGCGACCGTTGAAGTTATCGAAATGAGCGATACAGGTTTGTTGTGTTTGTTACAAATTTCCAATTCTAATTTGAAACTTTAATGCTACACATTTGCATTAAATTCAATTCATTATCAATGAATGAATGAATATTTTGGATGTTTATTCTTGTTGTAATTTTTTTTTGTTGTTTATATTCTTTATTTGTTTGTTGCACGTTTGCTCGACATTATTGTTGGTCGTCATTTCTATTGTTATTCATCGCATACAAAATCACAGATGTTAGCGCCTATACATATGAAAGAACTGTATTAATGGAACAACGAACACAAGTTTTGCAAGCATATGGTAATGAATTATCTGTTATCAATTCTAATGAAACAATCAAGCCCGATGAATTGAATGTTCGACGAATGTAAGTGTGTGTATGCTGTTGTTTGTTGGCTGGCAGCAGCAGCAGCAGCAGCAGCATATAAATTAAATGTGTGCAACACCACCATTCATTTGATTTGGAAAACAAAAACAAAAAAACAAAAAAAATATCATAAAACTTACTCACGATTTCTTTCTATTTATTTTTCGTTTCTTTTTCTTTTTTTTTTTGCCTCCATCTCTCATATATATATTTATATTCCATTAAATTAGGCATACTGCCGTCAAATTAAACGAACATATAATCAACAAAAGTCATGCATCTAAATTGGTCATAATAAATATGCCTGGTATACCAAGAAAAATGACACCAGGCAGTGAAACAAATTATATGGAATTTATTGAAGTACTAACTGAAGGTCTTGAACGTGTCATTTTGGCCAGAGGTGCTGGCCGTGAAGTGATTACGATTTTTTCCTAAAAAAAAAAAAAAAAAAATAACGAAAGAACAAACAAAACAAACAAGCAAAAAAAAACACTGCATCAAGCAAAACTTTTGATCCATGATCCATTATATTCTTAATTATTATTATTTATAAATTATACATCATCATTATCATCTTGTCATGAACTGTCATCGTCTTTTTTTTTGTTGTTGTGAGTGTAGTGCTTCTTTTTTTTTCTCCTTCTTATTATACGAATAAAAGTAACTTGAATCATCTTGTTTGTGCAACGATGAAAATCAATCAAGAAAAAACAAACTGAACAGGAAACAATAGCAGCAGTATCAACGTCAATTCAAACAACAACAACAACAACAACCGACAACAGCAACATCTCACCATTTATAAAACAATTTTACAAATGTTAAATAGTAGCAATAAAATTAAAAAAAAATTCCATGAATCACACACACACACACACAAACTTTCACCATGATACGAATGAAAACTTTTTTTTTTCTTTGTTTTGTTCCATGACAAACACACGATGACAGCAACAGCAGCAGCAGCAATTCTTTTTCCGCCCGTTTAATAAAATTGATTCGTTGAACACATTGCCAAAAAAAAAGATTCGTCCATGTCGTCGTGTTTTGTTTTTTTTTTCGATTAAAGTTGATTGTCGTTCATTTTGTTGTCGATTATTGGCTCATTATAATAACAACAACGACGGCAACAATAACCAAACTTTTTTTTTGTCTTGTCACCGCCAGTCCCGAAAAACACACACACACACACACACACACACCCAATGCATAACCATTATTTTCAATGGCACCAAACTGGAAAAAAAAAGTGAAAGAAAAAAAAAATCCGATATATTCGTGTAGATTTTTTCAATTTTGTTTCAATTTATTAATTAAAAACCACATTGATTCATAAACGAACATGCAAACTTCATTCCATGCACACACACACACACACACACACACACACACTGAATTGAAATGAAATTGTCTTTCTGATTCAAACCGGCTGAAATGAAATAACAAAAAAAAAAAAAAAAAACAAACAAAATCTAGAGAGAAATACTGCAATGAAAAATCATCACAATTTTTCTTCTTCTTCTTATTCTTCTTGTTTATTGATTCATTATCGATTGATTATCAATCTTGTTAATAATAATAATAATTATTTATAATATTATTCAACACTGTGATGCATCAAATTTGTTTACACATTGATTAATTTTTTTTGTTTTGTTTTTAATTCAAAATTATTATTAATATTTAATAGATTTTCTCTTTCATATTATGTGCAATATATTCTCAATTATTAATGTTCATAATAATTAATGAAATAATGTTCTCATTAACACACACACACATAAATTAAACGACGCTGTTTTTTTTCTTCATTTATAACTAAATAATACATACGTAGTACAATCACGTATACGTAATCTTTTTGTTTTTCATTTCATTATTATTCTGCATTTTATAGAATTTTCTAACAAACCAATAACGAATAAGAATGTATACATAATAAGAATATATATATATATTAATTGTACTCATTGTATGTATTCTTATCGATGATGATTACAATAACAAATGGCAATGATCAAATTCATTACACACACACACACACAACACAAACAAAAAAAACGAATCCATTTAAATTCATTATTATCATCATCATCAGTTTTTTTTCTCCATGATTCTTTGAATTCTTTCAATTCTTTATTCTTTATTATTATTAGCTATAATCAAATATCACAACATACACACACACACACACACATACAGAATTCTTACAACTTCCAACATTTGTCACATTTCACATTCATTATTACATTAAATCCACATAATAATCATATATATATATAGATGTAATGTTTTTTTTCTGAATTTTATTCAATAAAAAAAAATCATTTCCAAAATAATGGATGTAGCTGCTAATGTGTCATATTCACATTTTTTTTTCTTTGAGTGTAGGTGGTGATTCCATTGATTAAGGAGTAAAATAGAAATGTATGTACGAAAAAAAAAACTGGTTTCATCTTCTTTTCTACCGCGTTTCGTGTTATTAAACCAGGATTTTTGTGTCAGATTTTTTTTTCTTTCTTTCTTTCTGTTGTTGCTCATCTCTGGTTAATCTTTGAACAATAAAAATTTTTTTTTTTTTTTTGAAATGTCGGACATCATCTCTGGGTGTGTGTGTGTATCACACTACCGAAAGCATCCACATTCACGGAGTGAAAGAGCAAGAGAAACCAAATTGCTGATTGTTGCTGAGTGTTGAGTTGTTGTTGTTGTTGTTTTTGTAATGGTCAAAACAAAACAAAAAAAAATCATTCTATGATGTCTATGTGTTTTTTTTTCTTTTTCTTGTTTTCGGTCTTTATTTTTCTTCAAATCAATGTTTTTGACCATTTTAGAAAATCAAATCAAATCAAATAAATAAACAACATCATCATCATAATCATCATCAATAATAATTCCTACTATATATACTATAGTTCCACTACATCATCAGTTGATGATTGTCAACATTTTTCTCTTTACACATGATTATGATTCATTCATGTTTATGATATTGGAAATTTTTAAATGTTAATGATGATAATTTTTCATGATGAAATGATTATCCATCAAATGATGGCGAAGGTCAGATTCATGATACACACACACACACACACACACGAGCACACGCACACACACACACACATAACTTGTTATTGAATTTTTCCTATCCATCCATTGATTATATGTATGAATGAATGATCATCATAATAACTGGATTATGTCAAAAATTTTTCCATGTTTACATTGTTCCGTCTTTTTGTAATTTTTTTTATTTGTGTTTGTAAAAGGCCTTTTATGGTTTCTGTCATTGATGATTTTTTGTTTATGGATCATCGTCATAATCATTATCATTATCATTGTTCATTTACAAAATAATAACTTTTTCTTTGATTTTGTCTAAATTGTCAAATGTTTTTTTAGACAATTGGCCATTTTATTTATTTTATTAATTTATGATGATTTTTGATGATTTTAGAAAAAAAAATTTGTCCATATGAAGACTGATGAGTGGATAGTATATATATATTTGTAATAGTAAAACAACACACACACACAGTGATATTGAAGAAAACAGAGATATATAAAAAAAAACTCGAAGAACAAGTGTATGATCATGGACAAAACAACAACATTGTTGTTTGAGAACATGGACAACATGATGATCATCATCATCATTATAATATCGTCGTCTTCGTCTCCTTCGATAGTGGTGGTGGTGGTGGTGGTGGTAGTTGTCAGACAAATAAATATAAAACTAGGTCAGTAGTGTCTAGGATGATGATGATGAGAGTATTTGAATATGAAATTGAATGTGGAATAAAATGAAAGTCTTTGAAATTTTTTAAGGGAGAGAAATTCAAAGAGACAGATTCGGTTGTTGTCTCTGTCTCTCGGTTTCGCTCTCTCACACTTTTTCATTTTGAAAAAAATTTGATCACAAAAGAAAGAAAGAAAGAAAAATTTTATTTTTGTTGAAAACAAAATCTTAAGTAAAAAGATGAGATGATGACTGACTGCTAGTGCTGCTGCTGCTGCTGCTGCTGCTGCTGCTGCCAATAATTTTGACTGACACCTCGACAAACAAACACACAGGCACCTGGCGCGATATTAACATCAATTTTTTTTTCTAGATTCGGGATATTTTTTTTTCTTTTACTTTTTTTGTGTGTGTCTGCATGTGTATGTGTGTCTCGGTGTCTGTTTACCATGATATTGATTTCATATGTGCATTCAAAAAAAAAAAAAAAAAAAAATTCAATTCGATTAAAAATTTGATTAGATTGTGTACATATGGTCATCAATCCAATACAATCACATCATGTTGTTGTTGTTGTTGTTATTTTTCATAAACCATCAACGTGTTACGCTGTGTGTATATATATCGCCATGACAAAATCAACAATATAATGATGATGACCATCATTGATTAAAGTAAACAGAAAAGAAAAGTTTTTTCAAATTATTGAAAAACGTATTTGACAAAAAAAAGTGGTTTCACACACACACACACAAATTCATCAGCCAAAACAAACAAAACAGAAAAAATTAAATTTTTCAAAAATGCGATACAAATTGGCATTCATTCATTGTAAGTATCTGATTCTGTTTCTCTATTTTTTTTTATTAATTATTAAATGTAACGATTATGGATGGATTTTATTTTTTGTTCAAAAAAAAAATTTCGTTGTACATTTATAGATATGTTCATGATATTCATGACATTAAAAAATGAATGTCTTTGTGATGATGATTGTCATAATTGTTTTGCCATAAGTCAATATTATAATCATCATAATGGTAATCATTATCAATCATATCCAATATCGGTGATAAATAATCCTGATCAACGGCAATATGAATCATCCGTTAATTATCAATATATGCATCCATCACAAAATGATGGTGGTACATTAAACTATGGCCATCATCATCATCATCATCAAAATTATCAACAACAGCTACAATCACAACAACAACAGCAGCAACAACAACAAATCCATTCTTCTTTATTATCGAAGCCATTGCCGCCACCACCACAACCACCACCACCACAATATCGTCCAATAATAATGGCTTATCATCCTCGGTAAGTATTTTCGATTTGTACCGTAGCAAAATCCGTGAATTAAAGATTTTTTTTTTTTTGATAGTGTAAACAATAGACATTATCCATTTTTCACACGAAATTCCGATCATCTATTGGATGATTCACCATCATCCAGATCGAATAATGATAATGAATCCATAATTGATGATAATACAACAGATGAACAACAGCAACAACAAAATCAACAACAACAACAACAACAATCATTTGTACGTGTACCACAGAAATCTGTACGCCAAAGAATATCCAATCAATATTGGCCACCATTAGTGAATCATACATTTGGAAATTCTATCGGAAATTTTGCGACGACTACGACGACATCTACGACTACAACCACAACGACGACGACGACTACCACAACTACTACAACTACAACACCGGCACCACCACCATTTTCATTAGATGATTATGAAGAAGAATTTCATCACGAAATGATGTATACATCATCATCAACAACAACAACAACAGCTAAACCAAATTACCGGCCAAGACCGGTTTCAATTAGAACGAATCCTCGATTGCATCATCATCATCATTATCAGCCAATGCCAACAATAATAATGCACAGGAATTTTCATCATCATCATCATCATCAGATCATCAACCAAATTCTAATAATCGAGTATTGAGCAGGATAGAGAATCCAATTGTCAGCAATAATATCGAGAATAATAATAATAGCACTATAGTGGACAAAAATAATAAATTTGATAATACAAATTTCGAAAACAACAACGGACGATTCGGTTCAGGTCAATTTAAATCAAGACGAACCGGAGGTGGTGGTGGTGGTGGTGGTCCACAAGGAAGACAAAGAAAGCGACAAAGAACTACAACGACGACAACAACAACAACAACTGAACCGCCATATTATGATGATGGAGATTATTATGGTAATCAATAATTTAGAGTTTGAAATTGTTCCAAAAATATTAAATTTCATTTTCTTTTTCAATAGATTATGATCATGATGATTATGATGTATATGATGATTATGATTATCTAGCTACAACAACAACCACAACAACTACGACTACACGAAGACCACGTGATAGACATTATCGTGGTCGAGGTGGACATCATCATCGTCGACGTGGTGGTGGTGGTGGAAGAAGAAGATATCATCATCATCGTCATAATGATGATGATGATGATGAATTATTGCCAGCAAAACCAACAGAACCATCAACAACAACAACGACGACTACATTATCACCAAATTATAAACCACGGCCAGATGGTCGTATAATTGATTATCATGCTGATCCAAATTTTCCTTATGAATTGAAAGGTGCCGATCTTACTGATTATCCATTCTATATTTCAATACCTGAAACTGATTTCAATTGTAAAGGTCGCCATGATGGTTATTATGCAAATATTGATTTAAAATGTCAAGTTTATCATCATTGTGCTATTGGTCATCAACGTTATGATTTTCTTTGTCCAAATTATACATTATTCGATCAGACAACATTTACTTGTCGTTTTGTTAACACTGTTGATTGTGATGCATCAGAGAATCATTATAAACGTAATAATGAATTATATGTTGAAAGTACAACAAATGGTCCGCAAAATAATTTCTATAATTCTTATCATCATCAACCACCACCACCATCATCGCCACAATCAGAATCATTACAGTCACCTCCACGATCATCATCTTCAAACAATGATCATCTACAGACATCAGATTCTTCATCATCATCGCAATCAAAATCACAATCACAGAATAATGATGATGATAATGACAATTATAGACCAAATCAATTACCATTGATACGATTGAATAAACGGCCACCACTACCACCACCACCACCATCACCACCACAACAACAACAACAACAAAAAAAACCACAACAGATCAAGTGATATGATTATTGATTTTTTTTTTTTTACTTTTACTGAATTTTGTTTGTTTGTTTATCTCATCATCATTCAAGTGAAACAGTTTTGTACAGTTTTAATTTTATTTTTTTGACTTCTGATCGCTTTTTCTCTCATAATTTTTGTGTAAATAATAGATGAATAAATGTGTGTGTGTGTGTGTGTGTGTGTGTTATTTATTTATTTAATTTAATTTAATTTAATGGACACGGGTATGCCACGAATTGGAACGAAATTTTGGAATTTCATGATGATGAAACCAGAAAGATTCGAAATAATCAATGGTGAAAGAAATTGAAAAAAAAAAATTTCTGAAATGAAGCAAAAAAAGCAGTGCTGCCATCTATTTGTGATGAAAACTATTTTTTAAAACAAATTTTTATTTTTACCATTCAAAAAGCTCAAATATCAATCAATTCACAATATTTTTTTTTTTGAAAAAAACTTGTTCATGGAAAACACAGAGATAAACAGAAATCGAATATTTAAAGGAAAATAAAATGGAATTTTTCATCTTTTTTTTCTTATTATTAATAAAAAAAAATCATCATCGGGAATCAATCAATGATCAAAACTGTTGGATCAAAATTTTTTTGAATGAAACAATTAAAAAAAAAAAAAATCAAATTCAGGCCATGGCCTTTTTTTCGGCTTCAATCTCTTCTTTTGTTGGCAATGGATTCTTTTCTTCGGTTTTGGCATGATGAAGTTTTTCCGCTTCGAATGTTTCAATACTTTTGAGCAACTGTTGTTGGCCTTTTTCCTGTTCAATTTCTATTTGAAAACAAAATGAAAAAAAAAGATAAAATAAAATGAAAATGAAAAGTTTGATGACATTTTTAGATATTTCAAATTTTTTTTTCATACGAAAAACGACAGGATGTACATTTTTCTGTTTTTTAAATAAATTGATTTGATTTGATTGATTGATTCAATTTATCAAACAACAAAAATTCAAATCAACATACCAGTTTTGGATGGTAGTACCACTTTTTCCTGTGTTTCAGTATGTTTAAGCTTATGTTCACCGACAAGCTCATTTTTAAGACCATCGGCAATACGTGGAAGATCTTCTTTCGTTGGGCTAGACATTTTGATTTTTTGGTTGTTTGTTGATGATGGTTTTTTTAAAAAGAAAACTATATATGGAACAAAACAAAAAGAAAATTAGTCAAATGCAAGCAAAATGATGATGATCAGAGCAGAAATATTTTGTCACATTCGAATTCAAAACGATAAGAAAAAAAAATGTTCACACGATGACTCATTCATACAGCGAATTGAAATGAATGATAATTATATGAATTGAAATTGATGTTGTCAACGGATGGAAATGAATCAATGAAATAGTTATGAAAAAAAAATACAGATAAAATACCTCTGGGAATGGATTGAAGAATAAATCAATCAGAAAAATGGAACAAAAGTCAAAATTTGAATAATAAAAGAAAATTGAAAGCAACAAAAGTTTTTGACAATTTTTAAAAATCAATCAATGATATTTTCGTTATGACAATCAAATGTTGAATGCGTTGTTTGTCAAAATTATAAAGCAATGACTATCATGATGATGATGATGATGATGGTCAGAAAGGGAGTGAAGAAAAAAATGCCGCAGTTTGGAAATTTCAACATTGGGTTGTAAAAAAAAAATGACAAATAAACTAGCGGCAAAATGAAAAACCAAAAAACAAAATGTCTGCAATACATTGAATATTATGATTGTTAATATATGCACATGCTTTGTAGCTTGCTTGGAAAGGCTACTATTGGTGGTGGTGGTGTTGGTGGTGGTGTAAAAGCTTTGTCATCGAACGACGACCACACCTAATCATGAAAAAAAAAATTTTTTAGCCACCAGCTCCATCAATATAACATTGATTCATTAGAAGAGCTCTGGTTTGTTTGATGTGTGTGTGTGTGTGGTATGGATGTTGTAATAGTGGTGGACATGGAATGGCTTTGAAAATATGAAAGAAATGCACTGCAATGTGTGTGTGTGAGATATCTGAAAAAAAATACTCGCGCCAATCATAAAAAATCTGATGATTTTTTTTCTACTTCGATAATAGTGTGTGTGTGTGTGTGTGTGTTTGGTGTGTAAAAAAACTGGTATCGTCAACATATTGTTATAGCATATGTATATCCAGATAAAATTTTTTTTTTTTTTTTGACAGAGATAAAAAGAAAACCATTTACCGCCCCCGCGTTATTTATTATTTTTTTTTCGTATATTCTTGATATTCACAACAACACACTATCGCATACCGGATTTGTATATTCAAAACACCGACACACGCAAAGACTCTTTCAAATGAAAAAAAAAAAATAAATAAATAAAGCAAACAAAGCCAGAAATAGACGAAAAAAAACCAGCCATGACCAGAAAAAAAATGATGATGATGATGATCCCCAGTAATGTTGTTGTTGTTGTTGTTGTCAATTCACATATCAGTCAAATCATTTTATGGATCCTTTTTTTTTGTTTAAATAATAATAATATTTGTTGTACATGTATGAACGACGTAATGAATCCTATCCAATCCAATCAAAAAAAAACGAAAGAACAACAAGTGGTTGTTATCATTTTACATACACACAGACACATATTGAGTCAATGTATGATTTGTTGATTACTATTACTCTGATGATGATAATAATCAATCTCATTCGTCAAGATGGCTATAGAGAAAATGAGAAAAAAAAAGTGATCATTTGGAGAAAAATTACCTGGCTGTGTCAAATGATTTTTTGATTATCAATAGAGCAAAAAAAATGATGATGATAATGACGATAATGAAGATAATGATTTTTTTGGAAATTTCTCACTTTTCGGAAGAACAAAAATCAAATACAGTCTTTTTTTCATTTCAAAAAAAAAATTTGTTGTCGTTTTTCTCAATATTCAATCAATGGTCAAGTTTTTTCCTCATTTTTATTGTTTTAATATTTAAATAGATGAATCGATAATGAGAAGAAAAAAACACAAAACAATCAATTTGATAAAAAAAATAGAGGTAGTGTAATCAATAATAATAATAAGAATCAACCAAACAAATCAATCAATCGATCGATCGATCGAAATTTATAAATTGAAATATATAAATCTTAACACATATTTTGTTGTTGTTGATATTTATTAGAATAAATAACGTCTGTGTGTGTGTGTGTGGGTGGGTGTGCGTCTTGTTTGTTTTTGTGTTTTGTTTTTGATTGAGTGTTTTTAAAACAAAAAAAAAAATATATACTTGTCTGCTATAAATCTCTTTCTAATCCCAATTGAACAATCATAAAAAATGAGAAAAAGTGAAAATCTAAATCATTGATCCATTGTGTGTGTGTGTTTGTTTGTCAATAATAATAATGTTGCCATTTGAATAGTTATAGTTTCACATATCATCATCATTATTATTATATCACAGTGATTCTTTATCGGTTGTTTTTATTTTTGAAAATTTGCGCCATTAAAATTAGTATGTCCAATGTCAATTAGATGGCGTACCAATATTTTACAATCACGACAAACTTTGACTAGAGGTCCACGATGATGATGATAATGATGATGTTGATCTTCATAATCATCACCATAATCATTATCATCATCATCATCATCGTGGTCATGATCATGATCGTCATGATCATCATCATCATCATTATGTAATCGGCCAGTATTGGTTAACATACGCATTATTTTCATCATACGATTACGTGATGAATTTAATTTTAATGGTAATGATTTGGATTCATTTTCATTTTCATTATCGGCAGTTTTTTTCCGCCGATTCTGTTTTCGCTGCTGCTCTCGGTCATTGTTAGCGAATCTGAATATATCAAGTACATGTTTTTCATTAGGTGGTGATGGTGTCGGTGATAGCATATAGATTGGAACACGATCAAACTGTTCGATAGGAATATGCATTTTAGTGGCACATCTAAAAACAGAACAAACGAATTAGATTATCGACAAATGCTAAAAAAAATAATCGAATCATTACCTATCACAAATGGCACGATTACATAGTTTACAAATGGTAGCCCATGGACCCCAGAATGTAAATCTTGTTTTCAAACAAGTGAAACAAATTTTTCCATTTTCAAGATCTTTTTTCAATGATTTTGTTACACCAAGTGATTCGATTTCAGCTTTCGTCAGTACTGAACGTATATGTTGTACTTCTTTCAATGTTAATGATAAACATTCTAGTGATTTACCGAAATCATTTTTCTCCCAAATAGCTGCCACATGATTACGATGATCTTCATTAAAATCTAAATCTTCAATCACATCTTCAGCTTGTCGTTGTTGTTGTTGTTGCTGTTTTTGTTGATATTTTTCCAACACCGTTAGATCACATACACTGATAGAATGACGTCGTTCTTTTGAAAAAAATTGACTTGAAACTATGAAAAAAAAAGAAATGATGAAAAAAAACTAAACATTCTAAACTAAACTTACGTTTTTTAAGACGTTGAAATGTTTTATTTGATGTATCCATAATCAAATCGTTGGTTATTGAATCATCATTTTCATTTTGATTCAAATCATTTCCAGTAAGATCACTATCACTATCATCATCATCATCATCATCATGTGGTGCAATTTCCGAAGGAAAATATGCCGACATTGGCCTTGTTGATGTTGATCGTGAATTTGGAATTTCCACAATAATCTGTTCATCATTTTCATCATTTTTTTCATCCAAAAATAAATCCAATTGTATATTTGCTTTCAATAATTTTTTACGTCTAGTAACTGAACCATGTTTTGTTGTATTCGTTGAATCGTTTACTGTTTCTGCTGTTGTCATTCGATCATTCGATTCCATAATATTTTCATTTTCATTCACTGTAATAGAAAAAAAAATGAACAATCAAAATAACGAAACAAATTCTAGTCGCTAACCTGAACATCGAGAAGGAGTTACATGAGCCGAAAATGAATATGTTTTAATCGATGGTTTCGGTGTTGGCCTCAATCGATGTTCTTGGCGAATAGAGTCCATAAGTTTTTCATATAATGTAACCTGTCTAGGTGGTGCCGGTTTCAGTACACGATTCGATACCGGTACTAATGGTGGCCGTGATCGTATAAAATCCAATATCAATTCATGTGCATCTTTTTTTACACGTGGCGGTAAATCACCATTGACCATTACTTTATTCAATTTATAACGTCGTGCGCGTATATCATCCAATAACATTTCATATGGTGTTAATTCATATTCAGTATTATGTATTGAATCATGATCAACTTTTTTCAATTTTACACCATGTCTTAGTTCACGTATTACCTGTATCCAAAGACGTGCCCAATCATGAAATTGTAGCTTTTCCAATGTTGTTTCACAATCATCATCATTATTATTATTATTATTATTGTTATTATTGGATACATTTGATCCGATAGTCAATATAGATGATTTTCGCAACTCCTAAAATAAATCCATCCATGAATGAAATGGTTAGAAGCAATCATGTGATGATGATTACGATGATGATGATGATGATGATGATGATGGTTTATAAAAATTAATAGGAAGAAAGAAAAAAAGAAACAACAATTATAATCAATCAATTGCTTGTCAGTATCAAAATCAAAATCAAAATTAAAAAAATCATTTATTAAATTGATTACTTTAGTTCCTTTGGCAATTTGATCCAAAAATGTTGATAATTCAAGAGTTTCAGCTAATAATGCTCGACAAACAGCTTTATAATGATTATCAGCCGATTCACGACAAGATAGACGAGAAACGCACATCTTTTTTATTATGAATGGACCACATTCACATCAAACGAATGAACATTATTTGATTTTATGAGAAAAAAAAATTTAGGGTAATAAGATTAGAACAACAAAAAAAAAATGAATCAGTCAATCAATCAATCAATTAGGAATATTAACCTGCATAACATGATCAAAATTTAGTAGATATCTACTTGTTGTTGTTGTCGTTGTTTTTCCATATCCAGGCGATAAAGAATGTTGTTGTCGAAATGATGTCGATGTCGATATTGTTGATGATGGTGATGAACCATGTGAATGTATTTCACTACTACTATATTCATGACAATCACGTTCAATACCTTCATCAGCATTAGCACATTCATCATCATCATCATCATCATCATCATCTTCTTCATCTTCCTCTTCATCGTCGTCGTCGTTATCGTTATAGTGGTCATCATCTTGATGAACATCGTTGTCTTCATCTTCTTCATCATCAACAACATTATTTTCTTCATCATCATCATCATCTAAACATATTGATCCAATCGAGCTCATTTGATCATTATTACGAACATCATTATTTTTCTTAGCTGATGATGATGATGATGATGATGATGATTGAAGAACGACATCATCACCACCGCTGACAGCTGTTCTTGTTATTGTTGACGATGATGGTGATTTTTTATCATTGAATTTTCTCCGTATTTGTCTTATCGATGATGATGATGATGATGATGATTCCTGTTGTTGTTGTTTTTGTTTTTGTCTTTGTCTTTGTTGCTGTTGTCGTTGTAATCTTCGTGAATTTGTTGCCAATTCATGTGCCGTAGTCAAACGTTCAATAAGAAGCTCTAATGGTTTACTTAATGTACGTTCTTCATCATCACATAGGCCATAATCAAGTGCATGAAATAAAACAATACCCAATGATGTAAGTAACTAAATTGTGTCAAAAAAAAAAAAAAAATATTGAAATTCGAGATTAATTTTTTTGTTTTGTTTCGAAATTAATATATGAAAATCATCATAAATCAAACACAATAATTAATACTGCTTACCTTATGAGAACTTTTAGCCAATGTACGACCATTGGTTCCTGATATAAATCGATGATGATGAAATTAATGACAGCATGAAAAAAAAAAAAAAAAAAAATGAAACAAATTATGTTAATTAGTTCAATATGATCATGAAAATTTAGAAAAAAGATGAGAAAAAAATTTTTCTATTTCCACAATCAATCAATCATTCATCGATATAGAGTGTGGTGGCAAAAAAACAAACGAAGCTAATTATAGTTTGTTTTTGTTTTTGTTTTTCGTTTTGTTTCATTCATTCATTCACGATATATTTAAATTCAAAAACACAACACACACAACGATATTTGATGTTCCATGTAGGTATTTATTAAAATTTTTGATTTTTTTTTTGAATTTAAAAATGTTAATGTTTTTTTTCTTCTTCTTCTTTGGTTTTTTCGTTGCACCCAAATCAATAATACCAGACTATCATCATCATCATTATTGTTACTATAAATCTGCCAACAACAACAACAACAACAACAACGAACAACCAGAACAATTCAGATCATATCATATCATTTTAGAATGTCAATTCAAATCAACAACAACAACAACAACAACGAAAAGAAAGAACAAAAAAAAATCGATTTAAGATTCACCATAATCATAATTAGGCTTGAAATTATGCACATATATATATGCTGTTGTAGTTGAACTAAATTTTTTTTTTCTTATTCTTTCATGATTCGTTTGGAAAAAATAAGTTCTTTCTTCTTTTATCTGCTATTTTTGTTGTTCGTCAAAAAGACTTGATTATCATCATCATCATCGACATCAATCTGGTATGATGATGATGATGATGATGATTATAATAATTTTGCAATCAATTTAAATCAATTGTCTGTCGAACATCGTTTTTTTTTCTACATTTTCTACTATTCTTCTTTAGGTCATCATCATCATCATCATTGCATAATAATTTTGACTGATGTTCACAATTCAAAATATCTATCTATCTATCTATCTCTACCTTGTTTTCGTTTGCTTATTTCTGGTCAATGGTTCAATGTTGTGTTTGACCAACAAACATACAGGCAAGTCCGTGCTTTATACACAAATAATAATAATAATAATAGACCTTAATAATATCTATGATGATGATGATGATAATAATGGAAAGATAAGAAAAAAAAGGGTTCGATAAGAAAGAATGAAAAAAAACCATACAGCTAGGTGGAGCTAGCAGTAACTTGTAGTAGTTGTTATTATTAGTTAAAAAAAAAATCAGCTAAAGAGACAATGAGATAGAGAGAGACTGAACAGATAAATCGGTCGGTTAATGAATGAAATTCATATGTGAAGTAAAAAAAAATTTTTTTTTTCTTCAACTTTTGTTTCCACTAGCTAGTGTATACTATACACTATAGGTCAAATCGTTTTTTTTCGTGGATTCTTTTTGTTGTTGTTGTTGTTGTTTTTTTTTGGATGAATGCATTTTTTTTTTGTTTCAACCTGATTATAAATGTAACAGGTTGTTATGAAAAAAAAAAAAAAAAGTTACTGTTACACAGGTCAGTCAATCAGTCAGTTAGTTAGTTTTGGCCTTCAAATTATTGATGATAATGATAATGATAAAATAAACGGGTCGACTAAAAAATAAATTGGGGGTTGGTTGAAGGATAATAAAACACCTTTTTTTTTTTTTCCTTCTCATTTCATGATAATGATAATTCACCTGTTGTTGGAGCGATAGAGAGAGAGAGAGAGAGAGAGAGAGAGAAACGTGATGCATCGATTTTTTTTTCTCAAATAATAATATGGATGTTATCAAAAAAAAAAAATCGATAACGGATCAATTACTGAATTTATTATGATGATTAGGACAAAAAAAAATTTTTTTCTGGATCAAATCAAATTCCATAGAACAACGGCAACAGTATGGCTATCTATATCTATCTGATTAATCTCTATACATCTATCCATCAGAAACAAAAACAAAAAAAAATGAAAAGAAAATAAACCTCAACTGTTAAAATATTAATCTAAAAATAAATAACAATTAAATTTTCCACCATCACCACCACCACCACCACCACCACTACCATCAACATTTTTAGATATAAAGAATCATCATCATCATCATCATCATATATCGATACATTATCATTATCAATGAATGGATGAAATGGTCGTGGATTTTTTTTTTTTGTTCAATGGATGATGATAATAATAGCGTTATTGGGCTATTGTTGTATAGATTGTGGTTGAATATGTGTGTGTGTGTGTGTGTGTGTGTGGTTTCAACAACAACAACAACAAAAAAAAATAGGAACAATAAAGCCAATAATAATAATGATGATGATGATGATGGGTGTGCGTTTTTATTATTATCTTTTTATTTCTGCCATTTTTTTCATTGAACCTTTCGATACATAAAAACTGGATGCGAATCATCCGTATCACATAGATCCAACTCGAGTGTTTTCTTTTCTTTTCTTGATTTCGTTTGACTTTATTCTCATTGGCCATACAAACAAACAAACAAACAAACCAAACAGACAAAGATATTCGATTTTGGTAATTAATTATTGATGATAATTTGAAAGAAAATTATGTAAATGGAAAAAAATTATTTGTTAGTTAATTATAAATCAGTAGATTGTGGTCAGGAATTATGATTGATGAATTTTTTTTGGTTTTTTTTTTTTTTTCTTCATTTCTGTCTGTTTGTGTACTACAACAAATTAAGATTCATTAAATGGCCTAGATGGATGGATAAGTTATGTGCGCGCTGTCTATATAAATTTTGAACCAGAAATGAAATGAAATGAAATGAAAACATGACGTATGACACTCAATAAATCAATGATGAAGAGTGTTTATTTCAATTTTCAGTTTTTTTTCTACTGTATTTATATCTCGGGCATCCGATTTTTGTGTGTGTATGAATGTGTAAATGGCCAGATTTGATATTCTTCACCACTACCGGCAACCAAAAAAAAAAAAACACAAACCACCTGAAGGATTTTTCTGATCATTTAAAAAAAAAAATTATTAATTTGAATAAATGAGAACAGTGAAAAAAAAATCCGAAAAAAGAAATGAATGAATATAAAAATAGAAATGTCGTGTTGTTGTTGTTGTTGTTGTTGTTGTTTTTCAATTTCATTAGTTTGTTATAGCCAGTTTAATGATCATCAACAAATGAATTATTGATCATTTATGGTGAAATAATGAAAATTTTCGTGTGTGTGTGCGTGTGAATGTGTGTAATGTCATCATGTCATCATTGTGAGAGAGAGAAAAAAAGATGAACAAACGACAACGATAATGACGACAAATTAAATGAGTTTTTATCATCATCATCTGAAGATGATCGACACAACCATTTGGGTTAGAAAGAAAAAAAAAATGATTCGTGCATGAATGAATTTTGAATTTGTCAATGCTCTCAAATTGAACCAGATAGATATAGAAAACAAAAAAGAGAGAGAGAGAAATGAGAAAATTCCATATACAATGTATCGGTTGTAGGTCAAAATCCCGAAAACAAAAACCCCGAAAACCGAAACACCGAAACCAAATGACCGAAAACAAAAACCCCGAAAAAAAATTATCCCGAAAACAAAAATCCCGAAAACAAAAACCCCGAAAAAAAATTATCCCGAAAAAAAATTATCCCGAAAACAAAAACCCCGAAAACAAAAACGTAGAAAATGGCTTGTTCCCTTAAACTTTAAAGCTTAAAGAATTATTCGACCAAACTGAATAGAATCAAAGATAAATAAGTGAAATTTGGATTTAAATTTCCAATTTTAAACGAACAAATGGCGATAATAATATAATGTAATATAAATTATATAATTCGAATCCTAATTGATTCGGTCAATGAATCGTATTGACGATAAATTGACATCAATTTGCCTTCTCAAAAAAGATCGTGTTGGAGCGAAATTTGTAATTTTGGATGTTTCACCTCAAGTTTGAAAACGGACAATTTATTAAATTAACTGATCATTCACATGAAAAACTGACCAAAATTGATATATTTACCGATCGTTTTCAACTGACCAAAACTTTTAAAAAATTACTGACCGATCTCTTAGCGTCATGTTTTAGTCTAAAGTTTTATTATAAATATTGGACAAACAGGGGGGAGATGTTGTAGTAATGTAATTACTTAACAATTATGTTTGTGTAATATTTATAAGAGTAGCGTTATTCAGCTACGATTAACATTTATTTATTATTAAATATTGTTCATTTTGCATTCGTTTGATTCTCACTACAACATGTTCATATAAAAGTAGTTCTTTGAGAACAAGGCTAGAAACAGTTATTGTCAAATTTGAATCGATTGAATCAGAATCGTGTAAATACACTGATAAACATCGTTGCGTGATTATTATGAGCATGTTACGATCAAATTCAAAATTTGAACAACTGGCTGATCGAATTATGATGAACCAGAATGGTACAATGAACAACATCATGAATGAATTCATTGTATATGATGAAAAGGCCAAATCTCAATCTTAAGAAAAAGTTTAAAAATAATATAAAATGCCCATTTTGCCATAAAATTGGACATAAAGTTGAAGGATGTTGGATGAAACGAAAAATTGATTCCAATAAAACAGAAGTTTCTCCATCAACATCATCTAATGATAAATCTTCTTCTAGCTCATCATTTTCACGAAATCAAATAACAAAAAGAGAAGAAAGCTGCAAAATCGTTGTTGTTGAAATGTGCTGAAAAATTATCAGATATCTGGATACTTGATTCTGGATGTACTTCTCATACAACGATTGGTAAAAATTTACTTATGGATCAAGAAGATAAACAGATTGAATTTGAATTGGCTAATGGTAATACAATTACATCAGAGAAAAATTAGTAATGTTGTTATTGAACCAAAACCAAATTGAAAGATGTGGCCTATGGAGGTTTCAGTTCAAATTTGATATCTGTTCGAAAATTGATTGAAGGCGGTTTTAAGATAAATTTTGAAGAAAATTTGGCCCAAATAACAAAAAATGAAATTTCATTTAATCTATGGATTATTGACAACAA